CAATTTAGAGCAGTGTTTTACAACCCTGGGGTCGGGAATCCAAATGGGGTCACTTGAAATGTCTATTAATTAGTTAAAAATGGATAGAAATATGTTTTCAAATAATTATTACTCTTTTTAAAATTCACTTGAATTTCACTTTGAAGAATAATCATGAATATGAAGTTCAAAAGAACTATCTGAGCTGGAAACAGACAATAAATGTGCACTAATGTGTGTAATGATCATAAAGTAATTCCAGAAAAAAAAATTGAAATTGGTGATGTCAAAATGACCAAACAAGTCATAAAAAGGGTTGGGAACCACACATTTAGACTCTAGTTCACAGATATAGACCTTATGTGAAATTAACATATCTGTATATCTTCAAGTGTCCAGTGCTTAAACTTTATGGATAATAAACTTGTAGAATAAAGCTAATTTAACCTGATTAATTAATGTCTTAACTCATCTAAGAATCACTGACTAAACCCTTTTTCTCATTAATCTAAATTCTAGATTCACTTTAGAAACAGCTGTTTTCCTAATGAATCAAACCATAAGGTTTTATAGGCTTCCCTGTTGCTCAGAAGGATAACATGTCGCCCATTATAACTCAGCATTCTTCACACACCTGAAATTGAATTTCCTGAACAAATGGCAGAGAATTCAGAAGGAGCAGCTGGTGACAAAAACGTATCCTGTAGGCTCGACTGTCCCATTTTTACAACTTATGACACTCAGTCAGCTGCAACCTTCCCCATCTAGCTGCTGCGGAGCATGTCGGCTGCAGCTGACATAGGCTCCAGGCCCCTAATTGGGACAAACTTTCGACTAGGACGTTACGGAACGGGCCTTTGAACATCTATTGTGCATTGATGCATCTGAAATTTCAGAGTATTTAGAGGTGAACTTCATTGTTCGCATGTGAATAATTCATAACAGCCAGGAAGAAAAATCTCCACTGGAAGAAACAGGTCTGTGCCTTGGTATGACGGGCTGGTCTTCATTTGAATTATAAAAGACAGAGGCCAGACTGAGGGATGGAGCCTGCTTTGTTCTGGAGTTTAAACCTTCCTCTTTATTTCTTCAGGACAGTTTCAGGAGGACTGGCAGTGGACCTTAGTTTTGAAGCAGTCTGAGCTCATTTGAATATTTAATGGTAACCCATTAGCAACACACATACTGATTAGACTGGCTCACATTTGTAATAAAAATAGTTCATGTCACAACTTTACGATTTTTCTCCATCTTCTACATGGGGCTACATAGAAAATTACAAAATAATCTACAGTTCAACAACATCACATCAACTGTTACTACCTGCTGTTTATGTGGATTTCTGTGTAATATTTCCCTTTGCATTACTTTGTTTCCTGGACACAGTGAGGCTGATGTCAAACACAAAATAAACTGAGCTAGAATTATGCTGTTACCTGTTCTTCTCATCTGCATTGCTTTTTTTTAAAAAAATATATATATATTTTCTTGCTGCTGTACAAGTACACATATTTTATATAACATCTATCATTATGTCACACTTTTAAAATTTTGGTTTTTCTGATTAAAAACTTTAAGTACAATTAAAAATGTAGGTACAAAAGATGGCATTAATAAATCAAAAGTCATAAAGTCAGATGGGGTCTTTGTTCTTTTTCTCCACAGGTGTCAGGACGACTGTCCTGTGGGAACCTTTGGTCCTCAGTGTAACCAGAAGTGTGAGTGTCAGAATGGAGCCAAGTGTCATCACATCACCGGAGCCTGTCTGTGTGAAACAGGCTTCAAAGGCCCTAACTGCCAGGAGAGATTCTGCCCCCCAGGCCTCTACGGTCTTATCTGTGACAAGTACTGCCCCTGTAACACCACCAACACAGTCAGGTAAGTGAGACGTTACGACCACACGCACACACACACACCCCTGCATTAACCACTCTCTGAGTTGAGTCCTCTGGAGCGCCATATACATTTAAAAGTCCCCAACTATATCTCACCTCACCCTGAGCCAGCTCCCACTCCGGAGTCTGGACGTCTCCTAACCTTGCCGTTCAGTTCGATTTTAATGGCAACCTTTGGCTCATCCATAATTTCTCAGCCCCATTCATAGTTAATGCAATGTTAATGCTCTGATTCTGACTGCAGATGCATCGCAGTCATTACAGAAAGGAGAAAAGGGACATTTCATTTATCTGATGATATGTAGACGCATAAATGGATGAAGTGATGTTGGCGCAGACCTCGCACTTTGACACTGCTCAGGAATAAAGAGTGTTGAAATTCTTTCGATCTAAAAACTCATCCTTCCTTTTCCTCCTCATGCCACAGCTGCCATCCACTGTCTGGTGAATGCACCTGCTCTACAGGCTGGACAGGCCTTTACTGTAATGAGACATGTCCGCCTGGATACTATGGAGAGGGATGTTTGCTGTCATGCAGCTGCACCAACGGTGCTGACTGTCATCCTGTCACAGGTGCCTGTGTCTGTGCCCCTGGCTTCATGGTGAGTGATCGTTCACCTGTTGATGTTGATGTTGGTGGCTAGCAACAACATAATGTTACTGGAGTTGTTAGTGTTTCTGTGGTGATACGGAAATCGTTGTGACTTGTGTCAATTCACAAATGTAATTGGGAGAGTTTGAAATTATATCGAAGGACATTGTTCGCTTGTCAAGCAGCAATGGGACTGATTCAATTTTTACTTCCCGGAGTCCTCATACAGGCTGAACCACCTCAGTGTAGTCAGGGCCCGTACGGCAGAAGGTCAACGGTTTGAATCCCTACAGTGACTGATGTTTACAGTTTGTATGTTCTTCCAGTGTTCGTCAGGTTTCCCTCCCTGTAATACGGTTTCCTCCCACAGACAAGAGCGCGCGGCCACAGTTGCGACTTTGAGTGTGAGTTTAAACGGTTGCTTGTGTCTCTGTGCAGTACTGTGCACCTTCCTTAATGTACCTCGCCCTCACCCAGTGACTCCTGGGATAGACTCTAGCTCCCCCTGCGATCCTGAAAGGGACTGACGATGCATGAAAATGAGCGCATGTAGAAAGGCAAAGAGAAGGTAATGTGCTTCTGATAGGTGGGATTTAGAAAAGGCTTACATTTTTCTCTGACAGGGGAAACTCTGGTGTTGTATAAGAAAATCATTGACTTAGCAAAGGATGAGGTGAAAGTGTTTGGCTTAACAGCGGGGGGTGGGGAGGGGCGACGTAGAGTCTGAACTGGAGCAGAGACTTTTCTATGGAGGGAGCAGCACCTGACGTTTGATTAAAGGTGTATTAATCTCATTAAAAAATGTATATGTATATTAGAAAAATAAAATAAAAAGTACACATAAGTCAGTCCTCAGTGTAACCTGCCTCTCACCGCCTTTGTTACACTATCTATTTATTAAAAAGTTGATAATTCACACTACATGCAACCCAGCACTTAGTCTTTGTACAGGTTTTTACTTAAAAGGTTTTGTAATTTATACATCTTGTCATTTGTAGTCCTGGTAAAATGTTTGTGTTATTGTGGTCGTAATGTCCTGGAAGTGGTCCCAGTAATCCTTTAGAAGCTTTTTATCGGCGGGCCAGCGGAGGCAAGGTGAGATATTTTTATTACTTTCTTATAATGGATGTGCTCTGGTGCACCAGGAGAAATTCCCTTCTAAATGATTATATCTTCAGTGCAACTCTGCGAACAAGTTATTATTCTGTTGTTTTATTTTACAAATATACCTGATGTGCTCTCATTGCACCAGTGCTACAGTCAGAGAACATGTTAAGCTCTGTACTAATAATACTAATCCTTGTTCGTATCTTTGTGTTTTGGTGGTTTTGCGGCAGCTTCTCGGTCCCTTTTACCACTGTCAAATTAGTTGTGTGGCTCCACTCCGTTCCCCCCGTTGTTTTTCTCATCTTGCAATCTGAATTTACAGAGCAACACAGACCAAAAGGCTACATTTGTGCCAACATTACATTTCAGTGGAAATTGCCTGTGTCTTACAGCGGACCACTGTGGTGAATTGAGCTACAGAGCGGGGCCGCAGACTGTGTCTTAATTTGCTCCACCTGTTCACTTTGGCGGCTGCTTGAAAAGGCTGCCAGACCCATTAAACAGACCTGGAGGGCAGGAGCTGGATAGAAACGCAGGAAGTCAAATGGGAACAGACACACCTCATATGGATGGTTTTTGTGAGTGTGTGGGTGTGTGTGGGGGGGGGGGAGTCAGGGTAACGCCACCATTCCAGGTTTTCTTCTATTATTTCTTTAAACAGCAGCTGCTTTACAAACAACACATGAGCATTGTTAGGGGACTGAGGTGTGACTGTGGCTCTGATAAGAGTGTTAGTTTCTCAGGTCTTGTGAGGAACATTATCCTTATCATGCAGTGGGATTTCAGTGTGTGATGATGGTGTTGAGGTTATTATTAATGCTGAAGTCATACCTCCAGGGGGGGCTGCTGATAGGACTTAGCCTGTCCACTGCATCTTTGTTCTGCTGTCCCATCAGGGGGCAAACCGAGCAAAGTGTTGCAGCAGACTGAGCTCCTGCACGCTTGATTTAGCTCTAGTAATTGGACATGCTCTTTTTGACTGGGACAAAGTGATTACATGTTACCTATTCAGGCGTTGTCCCCTGCAATTTGCGGCGTGTACTCACAGTAACTTTTCCCTCCTATGTCTATAAGGTGATGTGTGTTCTCTTAAAGCTACAATACTGCAGGAAATTGATTCCAGTCTGCATTTGTAGGTAGTGAAAACACAATGTTTTCCTCTGGGTTCCCAAGTCTCATGAGTGGCTCCACATGTTAATTTTCCTGTTTCGCAGCATGCATTCTAAATAGTAGGTTCTCATGCAGTAGATAGATGCAGTGTTACAGAGTGAGACTGATTGGTAATTAGTGGTGCTGTTTCCATGGTCTCACTAGGTGAGAACCTGAGCAACCACTGGAAAGCACAAGTCTTTTCTTGAAATTTGGTGCTATTTGCCAAGATGAACCGGGCCGTCTCTCAGCATCATACGTAGGTCTGGTTGCTGCTTCCTTTGGTTCTATGGTTACGTAAGGTCCTGCTGCTCTTGTGCAACGGACTGACAGCCCCTGTATTAATAATGATTCCCCACATTCAGACTTCTATCCTTCACAGCTCAGAAGGAATATGAATGAGTCGGCTAATGAGAAAGCTCCCCTTCTTCACTTGACAGCAGACCAACCAACCAACACTTGACAGCAGACCAACCACCGGTCTCTGCGTCCCGGGGATAAGCAATGTGGAATTAGATGCAGCATGGGATGCAAGAAAATCCATGTGGTCAGCTGTGGCCACATGACGTTTCCTCCGTGAGTCCATTCTCCACTAAATCACCTCTGCTCTGAAGCTCGGCTCAAACTCCACCCCTCATTCTACTCCCTGCCGGCCGGTCATGTGTGCCTCCGCTCTTCACTGCATCGGAACTGCTATTGTTAGCAATCTTGAAGCTGCCATTTTCAACAGAACAAAGGTTATTGCAACCGATTGATGAAAATTTCATTTCACAGACAGGCGCTTTCATGTGAAGTACGAGGGAGGAAAGACGTTTTAAGATGTGTGTTCTGCCCCTGGCGTCCGCGTCCACTTCTCCTCACGTCTCCTGTTTAAACTGAGTTCAAAATGATAATGAGAGCCGTGAACAGCCAACAGTTCCCAGTGCTCTGGCGAATGAAGCGTAGACCACTGCGGCCTCCTCTGGGCTGCTAATTGGAACCTTAAATCATTGTGTCACCTGTCACTCAACAAAGGATTCAGAGAGGAGGAAGAGGAAATCTTTAGAGTCACTGTGATCTACGTCTTTTTCTTTTTTTCTTTTTTTTTTTTTTGCGAGGGAGGGAGGGGCCTGGTGATGGTGGTCTGTGCTCAGCCTTTAAAGCAGATTCTTTATTATACCACACTTCAGAGGACAGACTAGTACTCCTTGTCCTTCAGCCAATAGCACACTCCTGTTACTGGGTCGTTGGAGTCTGTAGTGGTCGTCGGGCATTTGTGTACTTTCCAAAACTGAGTACTTTCACCAATATTTCTTTAGGTTACAAAATCGTATACAATGAACTGGAAGACAGTGTTACATAGGTGACATAGCTCCATGACTCATACTGTATGTTGAAGTGCAATGTGTCTGTGTGTGTGTGTGTGTGTGTGAGCTCAATGCAAATCACACTGAGGACTCCAAGCAGGAAAAAGTTTACATAAAATTTAAATTAAATTGGGACTAAAAATGTGACTTGGTGAAGTGTTTACGCCTCATCTATGCACTGTGAAGTGGTGTTAGCAGACTCAGTGCTGAGACGTGTCTTCAGGTGTTTTATTAAATTGTTCGTATCATAACAGTACAAATCGTACAGTAAGTCTTTGTCCCCAATGTTAAAATACCTCCAGAATGTTGACATCTTTGACCTACCAGCAGTGAGGACCACACACTGGAATCAACACAGTGCTGGTACTGGAAAACATCCCTAATAGTTGCTGTTATTTTCAATACCAGCGGATGGATCAGATTTTCTCAGCCATGAGGCCTAAATTATTTTATTTACTTCTGCCAGCTGAGCTTACATCGAATGAATATGTATAGTGATGCAAGTACCATGAATGTGCACAATAATTGTATGGGTGAACTGCTGTGAATGAAGCTCTATGAGTGGTCAACAAGCTCCATGCAGGCCAGAAGACTACACACACACACACACACACCTGCCGCGTGAATCACGCAGTAAGTGGTCTCTGATTAGAGCTTCCTGAGCATGAGCTGTGTTCCACGATATTTATGAAGAAAATCAGTGAGATGAGTTTTGAGATTCATTTTCTGACCCACTGTATGTATTCGGTTTCATCACTGGTTGATTCCTCTCTGCGTCTTTGACTTTGATGGGATATAATTCAAGTTGAGAAAACAAGAAAGTGTATTGAAGTAAAACAGAGCCGTTTGAGTTGTTTCTGAAAACAAGAAAGTGTATTGAAGTAAAACTCGTGACTTCTCGGAGCTCAGACTTTCACCAGTCTCTCCGCTAAGGACGTCAGACCTCCACCTGTAAGAGTAAGTGAAAGACAGAGAGTGGACGAAAGGGCAGGAGGTAATGAAAGAGGAGTAGAGGAATTGGATGAAACTGAGTTCCCCAAAGTGAAGCATCGCAGCCAGTATGTGCTGTTGGATTATATAGGCTGCATAATTGGTAGCCGGGGTGAGATGGGGTGATCAGGAGACATCTGTCTTCTTGAAATACATTTACTGTCATGCATCCACTGAGTGTCACAATTGCTTTCCTGCTGTATACAGATGTGACTGGTCTAAAAACAATCCAGTTAGATACAGTGAAGTGCAGTGAAGTGTGCCTGTCACTTTTTTCTGACTCTATTATTCCTGTTTTAGGTCTGCTGCAGAGCCAGCATTTACTGTCATGCTGATTTAAACCTCATGACTGCATTATTTATACCACAGGGGGAGGACTGTGCTACCATGTGTCCTCCAGGTCTATACGGACCCAGCTGTATGTCCACGTGCTCCTGCCATAATCATGCATCCTGCTCCCCCATCGACGGCTCCTGCATCTGCAGAGAAGGTAAAGCACGACGGGCAAATCCGTGCGTCGAGTGGTTACAAACTTTTCAGGTTTGTAACTTTTTAAATGAGACGACGTCTGCTTTAGGACTCTCAGCTGGTCGTGGCCTTCGCTCAGTGGCTGTCTTCCTCTGACAAAACCGAAGATGTTTTTTTTTTATAGGCCTCACTGAGGTTAGAGTTTTTCAGGAGAAGTTTCTGTCTGGGGACATTTACAGCATCTTTTAAGAAAAAGGACAACAACACAGTTTTACAGGACTTCTGCATCAAATCTTACCTTGGTGTTAGGGTGCAGAGAGCTGGATGTTTATACATTGAATCTGTACTTTTTGATTTAAAATGAAAATGTGTCTAGGGTATTGATGATCTGGGTAGATTCCCAGTCATGTACCATTATCTCTGCAACAAAGGTAATGAATATAAACATCCATAATTCCATAATTGTGCTGTTAACTGATCTACAGGCCTGTTTTTAAACTCTGTTGGTACAAACAGATGTTACGAAAGTAAACATAGAATAAAATAGAAATTCAGTGTGCTCCCACAGAGCACAGAAAGTCGTCTAAAAATCACCAAAACAACACAAGGGAGAAACAGTGTGCTGGATTGAAAAGGTATTTTCTCTCAAATGTTAAATGTGTCTCCTGCTCTGTCTGGTCCCAGGATGGCAGGGTGTGGACTGCTCCATCCTCTGTCCCAGCGGTACGTGGGGTCTGAGCTGTAATCAGACGTGCTTATGTGGCAACGGAGCAGCCTGTGATCCCGTGGATGGAATCTGTACGTGTTCTCCAGGTTGGAGAGGAGAACACTGCGACGAGTCCTGCCCTGTGAGTTTGTCCGTCCTTGAATCTGTTAGCATGTTGTCTTCTGTCATTTACGTGTCTAGCATCAGATTTCACAGTTGAAAACTTTACCTTTGTCAGGATGGAACCTACGGGCTGGAGTGCCGTGAGCGCTGTGACTGTACTCATGCTGACGGCTGTGACCCAGTCAGCGGCTACTGTCATTGCTACCCTGGCTGGACAGGTCAGTGCCGCTTTGTTAAAAAGAAAATGCCAGAGAACAAATGACATTTTAAAGAAAATAAAACCGTGTTTCAGCCTCAAAAGTTGTGAAAATCAAGACGTAACATTTTCGTCAGGTACACCTCACAGAGCCACGGAGAAAATGTGGCCCCCCTTACTGCATGTTTACAGAATGTCTGGCTGGTGTTTTGTATTAAAGATGGATTTTGTTTAGCTAGCAGAGCTGATGGGGTCTGTGAACGAGAGACTTGAGCTGGTAATGAATTCTTGGCTTATTCACCGTGTGCTTTTGTGCAGCAGATCCATTATTAGTTATACACAGCATCTGACATGATTTACCAAATAAATATTGGGAGACGAAATCAAAATATTGGCCCTCAAACCACTCAAGAGTTTTAAACATGAGCTATGAATTTTTAATTTTTTCTGGCTGTTGTTGCAAAATCTTATTGAACCAACTGGCATATTTAGTTACAATGAGATACACTTTTTGAACTCTGCTCCCATCTGCTCTCAAATTAGGTTCCATGAGAGTCGTTGCCTCATTCTAAACATTTGCTTACATTTTGCAGAGGTGTGAGCGTCACAGCAAGTTTGAGAAATACGATTGTGCTTTTAAAATGTTCCAATACATCTGAATGTCAAATGCAGCGGGGGGATAGGCAAGGATCTGGTCTGTGAGCCTGAGTGGAGAGGTGCAGTCAGAAAAGAAATAGATTCAGTGGGAAAGGTCAAGTCTCTGAGATCTCCTTTCATTCAGCCTCCTGAGCTTAGGGCATTTATTCTGGGAAACATTGTGGGTTTTATTATCTGCAAGAACAGTTCTGGAAAAACGGGGCTCTCATGCTCTGAATCCTGCACAGGTCGGGACCATCTGTCAGCCTTAATTGAGTCACCAGGGTGCCGGGCTGTGGGCAGTGTGCAGTCCAGTGGGCCTGACAAACACATACATATTTGAATCATCAAGGCTTGTCAGTCAGCCCTCCGCAGCACTCAGAGAGAAGTGGCGCCCGGAGAGCGTGCAGCATGGGATTTGACACAGGACTTAGTCGGGACAAGAATTGAACTATTCAGAGAACCGCTGTGTCTACTTTTCTGCCGTAAACATCACAGATCTCGCAGGCCGCCCAACGTTGCTCTGACATACTACTTTGCTGTCAACTGGCCTTTTGTTCTATTGCGTTATTTCTGTTGGGAAACTCGACTCTCGGAGCACATGGGGGAAAAGTGTCATAACCGTCTGAGTCCCACTTAGTGGTTGCTGCTCTGTCGTAAGTCTGACATCAGCCCGTGAAGATTAAAACAGGGCTGTGAATAAATATCGCTCGCGAAGGCTTTGTACCAGTCTATATGTTCAGAAGGACTTTTTTTTACTGACGTGGTTAAAGCTGTGACATACAGTAGAGCAGGTGACGTGTCTGTATGTGTGTTAATATGCAATGAGTCAGAGTGAGGCGCAGAGGAAGAGAGAGGTTTGCTTTGCTCTGCCTGCTCTGTACAAGCTGGAAAACTGGGACGTTGGCACTTCTCTGTGAAAAGCCTTCTTTGAAGAGACTCGAGTTCTGCCTTCGCTCACGCTTTCTTCTTCTTTCTCACTAGGCGTCCAAAGCCACTCTGTTTGTCACCATTAGACTGAGAAGTGTGATGCTCTGTCCGCATTCATTTACTGACAGTTAAGACAGCGACACTGTTTTTTTTTTTTCCTGCCCGGCCTAGCAGATCCTCAAACGCTGTTGCTAAAGCTTTGCTCTCCTTTTGAAGACTCTCTGACAGAAACACTGCTACCATTCCTCTTCCTCATCACTGCCAACATTATCGCTCAATCACACCTTCATTTTGAGTCCAAAACCACTTTGGTTACTGTATAAGAATTAGTCCCCAGAGTGAAGTCCAGGTATAATTCAAAGGTACCGCACTGATGCTGCTTTAATGGCGTCACCATTATTAGATATTCTCATTCAAAGGAAATTTCAAATGAGGCTCGAACTAAGGGTGGATGCTTGAAAGGTTGCTGCTTATGGACCCGTATGCCAGTGTGTGACTGTGTGTGCGTCTGTGTGTGTGTGTTTGCAGAGATAGATTTTTTCCGTCAACCTGCATCTGTACAGTAGGTACAAGTAATTTGCCCCTTGAGTCTTTTGAAGGCAACTGTGACGGAGAGTGAACGGCTTGGTCTGATGCATGTGCTATTGCAACCACGTGCAGACTGGGAGCTCTGCCTGGATGCAGTGCATTTTGTGTTTGTTGTGTGGAGGGAGCTCTGCCAAGCACAGAGTGACACATCCATGCACACTGTGTGCTGGTAGCCTCGGCGCTTCCCTTCGGCTCTGTACACTACCCTGGTTGTGCTGAAAGAGAATAGGAGACAAGGCTAGCCTCTCTGGAGACGCAACTCTGTTAATCAACACGGTGCACTGGCAGGGAGCCCCAGTCAGATCAAAAATAAAATGCGTTGGGAAAAAGGAGCAGAATTCTAAAAGTGTAAGCCACACACACATACACACTCACACACGAGTGCGCAGCTACACGTATTCTGAATTCAGGGCTAAAGTCAATCAAAGATACATGCTGAGAGTATCCCAGCTGAGCGTGTTAGCCTCTGCAGAGCTGCTGTGATCGGATACTGTACAGTCTTTGTTTGAATAGTTAAACAGCACGCCTCAGAAATATTTCAACACTCCAGTCTTTGTGTGGACCTCAGTGAATAATTATCTTTGCAATGTGTCTGCAGGAATCCATTGTGACAACGTGTGCCCACAAGGCTTCTGGGGATCCAACTGTTCATTCACCTGCTCCTGTCAAAATGGCGGCTCCTGTTCTCCAGAAGACGGCACGTGTGTGTGTGCACCTGGATACAGAGGGACCTCCTGCAAAAGAAGTGTGCCTCCCTCTCAGATTAACTCACGTTAGCTGAATGGAAAATATATATATATATATAAATATTCACACGGTGTTCATGATGTTGCCAAACTCCTGACGTAGCTGAGCCACACTAGCTGACAGAAGGAGGAAAAAAACACAGTCGATACTCGTTGCTAAACAATGGAATGTGCTCCTCACCAGTCGAATGAATGGTGAGGAGCAGCTGTAGAACGGTCGGTGGCCAAATCCAGATTGTTCCTAGAGCAGTGAAGGCATCGCTGTTTTTACTTTGCATCTGCTTCACCATAGAGAGGTTCATGTCTCATGAATTAATGTCATACCACTGATGTAGGGCGTGGTGACATGAAAGTGAGAGTTGAACAGTAATAAACCCAGACAGGGAACTGACCTTGACTTGATTTGATCTTCCAAGAACTTTGTGAAGGTTGTCCCATCAGAGGAGAAGCTCTGTTTGTTGGACCTGACTTCTCAAGTGTAAACCCTTCATCAGTGCTATCACTTAATAACGGTTTCCACGACACAACACCCACAAGCACACAGGAACACACACACTCACTTCCAATAACTGACTCTCAGTGGGAGATCCACAGTCTTCACCCAGGCCTGGTTTCTGAATGAGGTCTGTCTGAAGCTGCTCTCAAGTGGTGAGCTCACTGATTGGGGGTAAAAAATGTACAGACCCAGACCTGTGTGTTTGTGTGTGTCCAGTGTTGACATTTACACAACAGGTACTTCCGTCCTTAGTGGAAGCATCACCTCTGTCGGTTTGATGTTGAAACCCTAATTGAAAGATTATGAGTTTCTCCTGCGGCTGGTACAGCTGCGGCGCAGTTGCTGCTGCTCTAAAATAACACCAGTACCCAGGGGTGAAGTGGTCCTCACGTGACGAGCCTCGAAAAGTATGGTAACCATATTTAAATTGTGTTTTTTAAATGTGGAGATTTTTCATCTTTGATAATGTCCCTGCAGTGTAAAATAAAGGTTAATTGATAATGGATGAAGAATTTTCCCAAATCAATTAGCCAAAATAGGAATGTAGCCGCGGTGAAATTAAAATGAGGGTTAAATGATAACTGCCGGCCATTTCATATAAAGTCGGTGCAGTTATCTGTAGTATACATCTGAAAAGACGAAATAATGTTAATAATGTTAATGTTACATGTGTTCTTATGTAAAATGAAAATGACCCAAGCACAATTACTTACTTTCCGATCGACGGAGTGACTCATCAACCTTTTACTTTTCCATATCTTGACATATAAATGTAATAACAAAAAGAATGGAATTTATATTTCCATTTTCCTTCCTGACTCTGCTCCTTTATATTGTATTTCTGCTCAGACTCTCATTCCATTTTCCTTCCTGACTCTGCTCCTCAGACTCTCGTTGTCTTGATTCTTAACTATATATATATATACTTTTTTTTTTTAAATCAATTGATTCTTTTATATCTCTGAGATCAGCTGTTCAAGGTGATGCCACTGTACTGGGTGGCTTCGTTCTACATTGTTTTTGTAACCGTGCTCTCTTGATCTCTGCTGCCTTTTCTTGTTTCATCATTACACAGTGTTGAACGTTGTTCATTCCCCCGCCACTTGATTAGGTACACCTGTTCAAGGGCTCATTAATCTGAATTTGTAGGCAGTCAATCACATGGCTCTTCAATGCACAAAGCCATTTTGAAGGGAAACTGCCGATGTACAAACCGTTTGTGGGACTGGAGAAGCAGAATTGTTATAGTGACTTTGAACGTAGCGTTGTCTTTGGTGTTGGTTCAGGTTATGCTGACTGACTGGGATTTTGTGCACGAGCATCTACAGGGTTTTACTGGAGAGAATACTGACTGTAGACTAAACAGTGTGAAGAGTGTTCATTTCTTGTTCAGTCCCAGGATGTTGATCCATTTTCTTGTATCTTTCCTCTATGCTGTGCCTCTACTGCCGACCGCAGTCTGCTCTCCAGGTTTCTACGGTCATCGCTGCAGCCAGTCCTGTCCACAGTGTGTCCACAGCACCGGGCCCTGCCATCATATCACAGGCCACTGCGAATGCCTGTCTGGCTTCTCTGGTTCTCTGTGCAACCAAGGCAAGTGCTGGTCTGTTCATTTTTCACACATCATTCGGCGAAACCCAGGCGTCGCATTATTGGGTTTTGAATATCGAGGAAAATCCGATAACGATGGTTACAGATATTACATAATTTCGAACCGATGTTATCGGACTTCCCTACTCTTGGGTTTATTAACTGCTTCTCATGTCTTTAAGTCTTTAAAATCAGGTGCCAGTATCTATATCATCCCATAATACTGTGTTTTCCTAAGTGGATAATTATCAGGTAAAGGCTACAGTATAGTCCTGGCTTTGCTTACTGGCTTTAAAAAGATCAACAGGCGACCCGCTGCCTTCTTACAGACACCTCGGCTGTGAAACTTTAAATTAGTTCTGTTATCAGTACAACACAGGCAGAAATGATCTGCCTTTAACAGGAGCCTGAATATATTATCAGACAAGGAATACGCAGGGGACACAATTTACTATGAACACAATTCCTAGTAAAGTAACAGGGGTGGAATAACATAGATGAAAGGTTAGATCTGAAATCTTAATAAATAATGACAATTCAGTCAAAGCTGTGAATTTTTTGTGATTTTTTTTGTGATTTTTTTTATGGAATCGTTCGGTGTATGGTGTTTGGATGTATATTCAAAGGCTAGCAGGTATTTCAGCAGCACGATGCTGTAGCACGTTTGCTGTAAATCCTGGATACTTGTTAGCACAGCCATCTGGCTCATGGACCGTTTGGCTTTGTGTGAGTGGAAAGACATTCCCATAAATTTGATGTACGACTGTGTTTTCTGCCAGAACAGATTGACAACATTTAACTTTATCGTGTGTTTTCACAATTCAACAAGATGAGATACTTTTTAAAAATCTGAAATAATAAATATTCTTTGGTTATAAATGAATTAAACTACAGGCACAGAGACCTTTCCCCAAAAGAGGGAGCCCAGGTACCACAATTACCCCGCATACCATAGTTTTAGAACCATTCGAGAACAGCTCATTCAAAGCATAAAAAAAATCTAATGGTGTATTTTTAATTTATAAATTTCAAATTCTATAGCACTAAATGATTAAAGACTTTCTGATGACAGTATAATTATTTATTTTGATATATCAAATGTTTAAATAATACATTTTTGTTTGGATGTTTTACAAATAATAATGATAAAATTAATATGTTTTGCTAGTGTTTTCAGTGTTTTGCTCAAATGCAAGTCGATGTAGGATAAAAAATGCTCTCCGTCCTTGTGGCAAGTAAAGACACCTACGCTCTAATAATTCTTTTTTTTTTTTTCTTTTTTCTTTTTATAAATTACACAAAGGCAATGGGGGGGATTTTTAAATTCTCTTTCATGGCTTTGAGCAGTGTCTTACAAATAAAAGTTTAATAGGTTAGCTGAAGGAAAGGAGAAAAAAAATCAGGCCTAATTTGTCTGGACTGTAATTACTAGTGAGCAGGCGTGTGGCCACGAGGGACTAAGGTGGCCAAAAAAGAATCTTACATTCTCCTTTTGTTGAGTCCCATTGGCATCCTCACTTGTCCTCTGTCCAGCACACAAATCCCAGCCTAATGAAGCACTCCTGGTGTGTCGAGGCTTAAATCCCCAGAAGCAGCAGTATGGGGGAGCCAACCTCATGGCCTAATGACAGCCTGCTTCAAGGAGCTTGAAAGAACTCTCAAGAAGAGGGGGAAGCCAGTGGAAGTATAATCATTAAAATCATCCCACATGAAAATGAGTTAGACCCAGATTTTTTTTTTTTACAATCCACCACCTTATCTGGTATTTCTTCACAAAAGACATCGGTGCTCCTCGGTGCAGATGATTATACACACCTTGGTTCAATTTGTCCCACAGTCCAAAACCAAAAACATTGAAACATGATTTTTTGGGAGGGGGGGTATTTTCCTGCTCACTTTTATTCAGCACAATTTTCTAATGTGTGGCCACACTCAATAAAATAAAAAATAAAAATAATTTCATTCAAATTGTGTGCCTGAATTAGCTAAAACGTGGCCATGATTTATATAAGGCAGTGGTTCTCAAACTGTGGTAATCGTACCACCAGTGGTACGTGAGCGCTCACTAGTGGTACACGGGAAAAATTCATATTTTCACATTTCCATTTTCACATTTCCAACATTTAGTTCACATTTCCATTTTCAACTGAATAAATCTGAAACTAACCATGCACAATTATTACAACATTTAGAGAAAAACAATGTGTAGCTACTTGTGAGATTATGAAATAGGATGTCTGGTCTTTTTATTTATTTACTTGCTTTTTATTGCTCCAATGCAAGTCTGTTGTTCATGTAAAATAAAATAGGAGCACAGTTTAGATAAGTTGGGGCACGATTTGATAAAAGGAGCTCACGCTCCACTTAAACGAGTGCACCATTTAGTAAAGATAGAGCAGGATTTGGCAAATTGAGGGCACGTTTTCTTACTATTGATTTGATCTCTCACGGGCGCTGTACTTTTTTTAATGTGATATCTTTTATTGACAAGTGCCAGGGACTTTATTGAAAAAATAATTTTATATACAATACATTCTGTTGCCTGTAAACATGATCTGTTTCAGCCCAGTTGCACATCATTTATTCCACTCCGATCAGTGTGAATGGAACAGCCGTGCCACCGCAGGCAGTGTTTGTCTAAACAGGGTCCATTCAAACACACTGTTATTCACTGAGGGAAACTTTCATCTGCGCTTACGTATGAGAGTTCATGTCGTGTCAGGTTATATTATGACTATTGTTTCATATTTCAGTCACAGTATGAAGATGACGTCTGTGTTTCCGTCCATTCTAGTATGTCCAAGTGGCAGATATGGCAGAGCCTGTGCTGAGATCTGTCTCTGCACCAACAATGGCACCTGCAACCCCATCGATGGCTCCTGTCAGTGCTTCCCTGGGTGGATAGGAGACGACTGCTCTCATGGTACAGTAGCGCTATCCTTCCTTCTCCTCTGCGTAATTTCCCTCTTCTCTTCCAGTTCCTCTCACCTCATAATAATTGCCCCCCCCCCTCTTCTCAATTCTCTCACTTACTCACACGCCATTGTACAGATGAATCACATTCATGACCCCGCACTCTCCCAAGTGTTGTACTCAAGCTTTTCAAAGCACAGCTTGCCTACATGGTTGTCATTATGCATTATGCTCTTTGATTTATGGCAGTGTAGCCATTGATTGTATGTGTGTGTGTGTTAGAGAGAGACCGAGACAGACAGACATTTGTCCCAAATCCATTGAAATGCTTGCTTATTATAAACACAAAACACAAATTGAAACACAAAACCAGCTTAAAATACAGCCAGGGTTCAGTCGACATCAGGGTTCTCAAACCCTTGGCCTGGGGGTCACCTAATGCCCCTTGAAGCCTGGCCTATAGATGTTAATAACAATCTATTATTCCACTTGGGGCATTATTTTTGTATTTGTAAGTTCGCAATTATGAAAATGGATTAGTAGGTCATTTAAGGAAGACTCCTTTTCCTTGTAGTTTTGTGCTAAAAATTCAACACTGATGTTGTTGTGCAAGATTCGACGCCCTTTGGCTCATCTGAATTTAAGATCCTTGGTCTAAATGAATTCTTTCATAATGGCTTGGAACCCAACAAATATTTCTAATATTCCTCTGTTGTGTTCGCAGCCTGTCCCTCCGGACACTGGGGCCCAGATTGTCTCAACTCATGCAACTGTCACAACGGAGCCCAGTGCAGTGCGTATGATGGAGAGTGCAGGTGCAGCCCAGGCTGGACTGGACTCTACTGTACTCAACGTGAGTGTCCCTCGTACAGTTCATAGAAAAACACTGTCACCTACTGGCAGTCTTTTAGTACTACAATAAACGCCAGCTGGAAAAAAATATTTGTTTTTACCTAAAGACATTTGGGCAGCTTAGGATATTAAACTTTCATTTACACTATTTATGCAGTCATCGCTACAAAACTAATGGTCACTTCATTTTTTTTTTCTATTCTACATTCCGGTCTGTTTTGCAAAGAGCGAATCATAATTACCCCTCTAATATGAATTCCATTATCTATCACCTCGAGGGTTTGTGCTTTTCTGTTGGCTAATGTTCCTGCCTGTGGCTTTGGGAACATCATTTGTTGTAGTTTTAGCCATTTTTTTCCCTTTGTCTTCACCTCTATGATAAAAGGATAAGTGCTTTTTCTGCTGAAACAGGAAATGTCTTCATTTTCATTCATTCTCATCGTCCTTTATTGAGTACACTGCATAGACATTGAAAGGTATTGATTTCCCTGTTCTCTCGCAACATGACCTTGACTCTCTATATTGTCTTCCCGTCTTTTCAACTTAATCACTGTTCCTATCATTTTATACATCTCTCTCCCAGGCTGTCCTTCAGGCTTCTACGGCAGGGACTGCTCTGAAGTCTGTCGCTGCCAGAATGGAGCAGACTGTGACCACGTCACTGGCCAGTGTGCCTGCCGAACAGGCTTCATCGGGACGAGCTGCGAGCAGAGTTGAGTAATAGGCCCTGGAACATTTTAGCACTAACGGTTGTTACCCTCTGAGTGCACTGATTTCGATGAATTCCCTAAACCGCGTCTTTTCAATGCAGAGTGTCCTGCTGGTACATTTGGCTACGGCTGCCAGCAGCTGTGTGAGTGCCTGAACAATGCTACCTGTGACTATGTGACTGGAACCTGCTACTGCAGCCCCGGATATAAAGGCATCCGATGTGATCAAGGTTAGAGGCGATGGAGATGATGGAAGCTCTCGCTCAGATGCAGATGTTGATGCTGCGGTAAAACATCCCGAACGCTGTGTTTTCTCTTTAGCAGCTCTGATGATGGAGGAGCTGAATCCATACACGAAGATAAGCCCAGCGAAGGGGTCAGACCGACTGTCAGCCGGAGCTGTCATGGGCATCATCTTTCTGCTCCTCATCATCATGGCCATGCTCAGTTTGTTTGTTTGGTACAGACAGAGGCAGAGGGAAAAGGGCCAAGAGATCCAGCCAAGTGTCTCCTATACACAGGCCATGCACATCTCCAACACTGACTATTCCATGTCTGGTAAATAGACAAGCTTCTGCTTTAACTCCCCAGTAGAGTTGACTAAGCTAAGGTCAAGGAAGAAATGGAAGATTCTTGAAATTCCTTTTACACAAATCAATTCATTTAAACACAGCAAAATTGACAATTAGGAATTTTCTCATCATTTATTAAATATGTGCAAACCCTGGTTTAGAATTAAAACTAAGGCGGATCTCTTTGTGTTTGAATTTTGCTTGCAAAGCATCATTGGAAAAACAGAAAGGACAAGAGAAAAAAAGAATCATTGATCTCAAAGCAGAGAGAAAGTTATGATGTTGCCCAGTTTAAAGGGATCCACACAGGAAAGACCAGAGCTGACTGCTGCGGAGTGGAAAAGGTCAAATTTAAGAAGCAATCTTAGAGTCCTAAAATTAGAATCTATCTAATATGTAACCACAGTCTGGTGAAGGAATAGACTGAACTTTGAGAAAAAGAAAAGCTACATTCTGCTGAAGAATGAAAAATACTTGTAATTATTACTTTGTTTTGTCTGGAACAGTAACTGGAATAGCTTTTACAGTATGTGTTTAAGTGCTTCAACAAAAATGTGTACTATAATATACTAAAGAAATGGAAACGTCTGAAGTCACCAGTTTTAATACTGTCGACAAATATCCCAGTGTTCATGGATGCACATTAAACACTTCATATTGTTCGCCCTCAGAGTGCGGCAGTACTGTAGCAATGAGGACCAGCACCGCAGAGGTCAACCAGAGCCAGGGCAACGGCAGCAGCGGCCAGTGCTTCTCCAACCCCAGTTACCACACAGTGGCCCAGTGTAATGTGGTCTCCAACATTTCTGGCAGCCTGGACGGCACCTTGATCCTCAAAGTATGATCACTCCTAATGTTTATTTAAATGAAAAATGGAGTTACTGCAGTAAAAGAAAAAACATCTGTGCTTTTCTCTTCCAGTCAAGCACTCTGAAAAACAGAAATGGTGCAGACTGGAGAGCCTACTGCAACCTCAAAGACATGGGTCAGTCTGTGTATCTTATCACATCACACTGCAAACACGCTGTCACTTCAAGGGCAAAAATTCATGTCATTATTACAGCGCTTTTATTGGCATCAGCCTGCGCTTAGCAACCCTGCTGTGAATGAAGATGAACTGAGGGTCCCTGGTTAGATCTAACCTTTGCTCTGATTTTTGATGAAATATGCAGTTGGGACAGAGAAATCATCGGTGGAGGGGTGAAAGCGGGTCAGATGGAGCTCATTAGTCTGCTCTCACTTCCCCCAGTTGCACATTTTTCCTGTGATGGCTAACTCTGGGTCAAACAGGGCACTCCTGGTCTGTACATTAGAGAACATTATGGCACCGAAGTTATTTAATAATACATGGCATTTTAAGATCCAGCGACCATTCAGATTTTATCAGCAGTAAAACAACATTGTTTAGGTTAAAGGGGTTGTAGATGGTAATTCACATAGAGGCTGAATTAATGAACACCGCAATTTAAAAAAGCACTTTTTTAGTCCCAGCTCGCATCAGTTTTTAAATGTCCTGATATCAATGTCCTAATGATTCATTAATGTTCTATATAGACTAGAGAAATTAAAACTGAATTGACCCACAGGTACACATTTACTAAAGAACATAAACCTGTAATGTGCTAAATGAATCATAATTAATCCTAAAAAGGTTGGGGGTGTCCTGTTGGGGTGGTTACACTGTGACATGTTTCCATATTTTAGCTCAAAAATGAGAGGGAGATATCGGTAGTTATTTATTATGAGAGGGAAATATCGGTAGTTACAAGATTTGAAGACATGCTGCGATCTTCTTCAACACCTCTGTCTCTCTCTCTTCTCAGTTTCTATAACTGTCTGCTGCCACCTGGTGGAAGACACTTTCTTCCTGTCAAAAGCAAAAACAAATAAAGAGAAATTATTTGCAGTAATAAACAATAATTTTCAGAGCAACTGTGGGACTTATCTTGTAATGTATTCCTTTAATGTGATATCTTCTGTTTGTCTTCATGTGGAAATATAAGAGATAAACCCTCTTCCCTTTGTTACAGATGTCCAACAGGGGGAGACACAGACCCAGAGAGGTTCAAGGAAAGGTAATATCATGGGAATTGTATTCAGCTCCACATGTAACACTGTTACAAATCGGTTTTTGTTCAATTTCCCAGGTATCAGTTTTGTTCTTGTTCCTCCCTTAAACAGCTATTTCCCTGACACAAAATCCCATGTCTTTATATTCTCTGTGATTTATGGGAGAACTCAATACACTCTGGACCGGAGCGCGGTGGGCTGACGGTTTGTTCCAAGGGTAATTGCTCTCCATGGCTCAGTGCCCAATACGTCATTTTTTTCTCCCAAACTGCAGCCGGTGGTGAATATGAGGGACCCCGGGGCCTAAAGAAGCTCTGCTGTGGTCTCTAATGAGGCTTCTTATCAAGCTGATGAGACAGTTATGGATGAGATTAGCCTGCTTCTCTGTCCCCTTTGTTTTGTGATTTGTACACACCATCATTTGTAGCCTGTCAGAAACAGAGGAAGTAAAACTTTTTCAAAACATTGTAGCATTTTATTGTCATTCTAATGACCAGTCTGTGTAAATGTTTAATGATTTTTTTTTTCAGTGTCTCGAATAAATGCCACTGTGACAGTTCATTAAAACTCTCATGATCTCTTCTGATGCTGAGCATATCCTTGTCTCTAACTGCAGATTACATCAAGGGCTCCATGTGCAACAGCAGCTCCTGCTCCCTGAACAGTGAGAACCCATATGCCACCATCAGAGACCCACCAGGGCTTTCTTGCAAACACACAGAGAGCAGCTATGTGGAGATGAAGTCCCCCTCCCACCGAGAAGTGCCCTTTGGAGGCACTGCCACCCTCCTGGGCAGTGCAAGCACGAATGTCTATGATGTCGGTGAGTGTGTTGTTGCTCTGATGTCTGGAGCTCAGCGGGGTCCCACACTTTGTGGCTCCTCTGGTCAAAAGCCCCTGCTGTGAGTCTGTGTGGACTTTATGAACCTGTGCACTGCCTTTCTGCTCCTTTTCTCCTCCTTTTTCTTAGCCAGTTTGTACAACTCTACACTGAGTCTAACACACTTCTCTGATTGTTCTCTCTCCAAAACTACCACAGAGCCGACTGTGAGTGTCCTTCAGGGACCTAATGGAATGGCCACCGGCTTTTCCCAAAGCCCTTACGACCTTCCTCGCAGCAGCCACATCTCAGGCCACTACGACATATTGCCCATGCGTCACAGCCCGACACACACGCCCTCTCCACCCCCAGAAAGCCCCAGCTCCCTGCTTTAGAGGCTTCACCTCCCACCTGGCCCCCAACATCATGCCAGCTTTGGGCAAAATCCATCCAACTGTCAACCAACGGCCCTCCCTCTTTCTCTGTGTATGTGTTTGATTTAGACATTGGGATGATGATATGGAGGGGCAGGCAGAGCTTATCTGAACTATTGCTCCCCTTCCTGTGATTTTACTGTGGTGCTGAAGAAGGAAAGGAAGGAAGTGTTCCACACACCAGCGACCATTTGTCCATTTTACTTTCTTATAGAGCTGATGGCTCAGACTGTTGCCCAGCCACTTTACAGACTTCCTGGAGTGGAGTGCCAAACAGCGCCAAGGGTGGAACACACGGATGATTTGGACAGATTATTCAAAAGAGGGAGTTATACGAAAGTTATTTAAGCTCACGGTATAGGTTTACTATTCTAGGGCAGCCAAATATTTATGATATCCTCCTCCTCACGAGAGAAGGAGTCCAACCTTGACAATGTCAAAGTAGGCAGTTATACTGTATATTGCACAGAGACACCAGAGTTTATGATTCCTCACCTGCCAAGATGACTTGAGGAGATTATGATCATATACTCTAAAGTAAAGAAATGTTAAGATATATAGTTATAAAATATAATGTTGTACAAGGAGAAGAACTGGGAGTAAGCAGATTTTGATAAAGCATGGTCGATATTGACATATTGTGGTGGTCTTTAAATCATTCTTGCCCTGTAATGATCAGAGCTCTGTACGGTTGCAGTGAAAATTAGACCCATTACGGTTGGCGTTGTATTCTGACCCATAATGTCCACGCATTTACTGCATTGCTAAGTCACACACATTCAGTAGGTCTAAAGTTTGGATCCTTTACTTTAATTTTGCATAATTTTTTTTAATGTGGAAGTATTTTTCATGCAGATATCTGTGTTTACATTTTTGAAAACCAAATCTAACTAAAGGATTGCTTTGATGTTTTTTTATACTTTAATTGTTTATTGATTAATTTATATAACTGATGGTCAATGTAACACATTAAAAAAATTGAGCATGATGAGATATTGGATACCCACTGATGTAGATAACACACAGTTATTGTCGTGAAACGGTCAGTATCATCTTGTGAACTGTTTTTGAAGCTAAAACGTGTTTTTTGTTTCTATCCCTGTCAGAATGTACACTTAAAATAAGCTTTCATCTGACCTGATTTTAGACCTACAAACACATACAGTGTCTACAAAGGGAGCCATGTGTAAAAAAAAATCCATTATGAAGCATTTTATGTTTGTATTTGGCTATTTATCTTACTTATTTATTGAACCTTATTTAATAATTCACTATCTGAATTTCATTTCACCGTCTGTAGAAGCAATAACATTTTGACAATCGATGCCCAGGCAGCGACTCATTAGTGCTTGACATTATTATATACACCATCTTTGACCAGTGTGGTGACAGTACATCATATTTATGTGACTTCTTTTTCCCTGATAAAGGTTTTATGCTATCATATCAGTGTTATTCTTGTTGTTTTGGTACAAACCTTCTAAATTAAAAGCCCACTCTGCCATCACAAACATGTTTCAGTCAGGTTAATTCATCGGGGGGTGGGGGGGGGCACAGAGTTAATGAATTAAGACCTAATGTAAAGTGTGTCACAGGTGTGATTGGTAGAAATTGTGATCTCAATGAACATGATTGCCCTCTGGTGATGAATGAAGAGTACCTATCCCCCCGTCCCCGCTTCCCCAGGTGTTTTAGGTGTGCAAAAGATTTTTAGGTTTATCAAAAGCACTTTTACTCGGGTACATTTTAAAGATTATATTATGTCACTAACAGACATTAATAGTATGGTAGAATGGTGGTTAGATACCTCACACAAGATGGTAACCGTTCCCTGCCTTGGCTAAGACAGATGCCCTGTCTTATTTTAGATTAAGTTAATTTCCCAGCTGGGGATCAATAAAGTACAGTGCATCTATCTATCCATCCATCCATCCATCTATCTATCTATGTGTATAAAATGTTTTGTCTTAACTGGACCTAATCAATCCTAATCAACCAAAAACTCCACACACACCAAACACAACCTTCTGTACCATAGCAACACGTTCTACTCATTTTACTGTTTTAAATGTAAATGTATTACTTTGACACTACATAAGAATTAAAATGATACATCTGACAAAGGCGTACTCAATGTCAGGGAGAATGCATGGAACTTACTGCAACAAACAGTGGTTAAAGACATTTGATTTCATCGTTACATATCTGCATGCTCACAAAAAGGGTTTGATTATTTCAACCACAGCTATCAAAATTATGAAGATGTGCAGCATTGAAAGTGAAAATATTGCCCTGTCAGAATAAAATGTCTGGAGTGTCATATCTTTGATTCATAAAGAGGCGCTGTGGATTTATGGTGGACAAGGTGTCATATTGAGATTGATCAGATTATAGGAGCTGAGAAAAAGGTTTGCCACAGCAGAGGGACTGTGGTTACTGTGATGGACATGCTGTCCTGCTGACTGCCAACAAGCCCTGAGTGATGCCCCACTAAAAGGAAGTGCAGCCACTAAGTCAAAGAGTTAATGGACCGAATAAAAGCAAGTACTTTTAAGAGGGGGGTTTTGGGGAGGGAGGCAGAGAGAAGCATTAAAAAAATGATGTTGCACATAAGCTGCCTACATAATTTTCAATGGAAGGAGTAGCTTATTGCATATTCTATCAATAGGCCAATAATATATATTTATATATTTATAACGTAAATAAAGACTGAAACAGCAACACAAATGTACTTCTCATGGATTATAACATAAGCCTGACACTGTTTAATATGGAAAATGGTAACGTTTGTGACAAGATGTCTTCACTTGAAGGTGACACTAGCCATTAATCCAAAATCATATTGATTTTTTTGTCGTCTGAAACAGTGTCAGTGAAAGACAGTGAGAACATATATGTGCGCATATTTATAAATCACAAGCAAAATGACTTAATTAGAATTGAAAATAATGTACATAAGGTATACCTATACTAAATGTTGAATAATCGTATTATTATTTATTATTATTATTTATAATAAACCCTAACAGGCAACTAAACCGATGCTGGAAAAGTCAGACAGGAATGGACTGTGCCCCAGATAAGCGGTTGATGAAGGATGGATGTATGGAATGGACTGTGAGGATGAAACCCGATAAAAATCGCACTTTTGCCGAATCTACAAGAGTGGAAACCTCTGACAAACACACTTTTTAGCCATTTATGTTGTTTGCCTGTCTAGCTGTCTTTTGCTTTTACATATTACCTTTTTTTTTACGTCTTTTACTTAAGATGTTTAGCTAGCTAGCTAACGCTGACATGTGCATATCGTTTGAACGCTCGTTGGTCTATGATAAAGTTACGGTTTAAGTTTAAAAACTTAAACCGTAAATTCCAAGTGGATTCCATGGAAATTGTTATGTGAGTACACTTAGTACCGCTAAGATGTGTTACATTGGGAAAAAGTTGTCTGAATATGATGAAGGCGTAAACTTCCAGCAGGTGAGTTTGTCTTTTATGTTACAGTTAAATATCATAGTATGAACCCTACGTCACAGCGGGTTCCATGGTGTAATGGTTAGCACTCTGGACTCTGAATCCAGCGATCCGAGTTCAAATCTCGGTGGAACCTTCTTTTTTTTCCCCTCTCATTTACTCATTTTGTGTTATTTTGTAAGGCACCTGTATTGAGACTTTTTTGGAGACATTAAGGTCACAATCAACGCCTGTGTTCTCTGTGACCTCGGACAGCATTTTAGGGTTTATCAATATTTGAGTTACTAACTGAAATACTTGAGTTTTTTTGGTTAAAAAAACCATTTAAAATATCCACTTGACAGACAGTACATTCAAGAAGTCGCTGTATACAGTGTCCTCAGCGTTTAGCGATTTTTTAAGTTTTTAACAGTTCTGGATTTAAAAAAGTAGATTTTTTATTTAACACACGGGGGCAGTAGAGGGCAAGATGAGCGCTAATGGAGTACTTCAAAGATTGTCTTCTAGTAGTACATCAGCGACATTTTTAGCTGCTTTACTGTTAAAATGTATTTAATATCTTTAAGCAATAAAAAAATAATAAAAAAACATCAAGTTTAGTTATCAAAAAACACCGTAACATCTAAACAGAGAAACAGAGCATCTGACTGGTTGTTCCAAAGTGATGTCATGACAAAGGAAATGGTAGTTATGGTAATAAGTGTAATTCTAGTCTTACTTCAAAATTATAAGCGTAAAGTTTTGTCGTAACAGACGTTGCCTCACAGGCACAGACGCGGTTCCTTTGTGATGACTGTCATCAGTGACGTAAGAGACTCTTGTAATCGGTCACGTGAACATCGGAGCCCTAGATATCTACGCGCAGCTCTGGAAAACACGGGACTGTTCCGATGCCTATACACGCTACTGTGATTATTCTTGTTTTGTGTTTTAAATTAGAAAAATAGATAAAAAGCGCCGAGGGAAAATACATTTGCTTCACTTGTAGTCTGGATTTTAATTGGACTGGACGTCGTGTTCGTTAGATTCATCTTTGAGGCGTCGTGATTGAGAAATGTGAGTAGATTATTCTGGTTATAAAAATAATTAATAAATAGACACATACAGATACACAAACGTTTATTTTCTGCTAGCAACCTGCCTTTCGTGGGTTTCTTTCTTTCTTCATTTATTTATTTTTTTATTTATTTAAATTCAGACCGTATATTTGCAGGTCCGGCTGCTCTAAGCGTGACCGAAAAATCGCTGACCAATCGCTAATTGTTAGTTTATCAGTGAAAGCAATTCTCTAAATTGTTCGTTTTATTGAATGTGGGGTCATTTTTTCAATAATATTTTTTTTGTGTCTCTGTCTGGTTGTGGTCGATATTATTTACGGCGCTGTCATTGGTTCCATTGAAATCATGTGGAGGCTTATTTGGTTGCATCCTGTGTAGATGCTCCTTAAGATGGCCTCTCAACTAAGGTGCCCTGGGGAGAAACCCACCGTGTTTTGTTGTGGTCAGTTGTGTATTGTGTATAATGGGCATTTGCTACTCAGTCACTCTCTCTTGCATCGTTGCTGCACCGACTCTGGCCACAGCTCTGTTTTCTTTGTATCTTCTTGCCTTCTGTTCTGTTTTCCTTGGGCGTGTGTGTGGTTTCCTCATCAAACACACAGGGTCCCCCCTGTCAAATGCAAGGAATGCACACGGCTGATGAGGGTGAATGTTGTCTAACAGGGAACAGATGCTGAGTGAAATGTTATGTTGGTGGTTCCCGGCCCGTGGTCAGACCGCCCATCCTCCCAGGCCCCCTGCTGTCAACACAAAAACTCAATAACCCCTGCACAGCTTGCTCCCCACTGTCCTTCAGCCTCTGGCTCCTCAGTGTACAAAATCAAAACAGCCATTATTTCATGCCACAGAGGCGCTACATTCATTAAAATGTTGCAGTGTTGTGAACAACTGCATTAAATTATAAGTGTTTCAAACAACAACTGATTATTAAATAATGCTGCTCGTTATTCCAACCCATTTTTTATGATTTTGTCTTTTTGGTAGGAATGCACTGTTCTCCTCACTCATTCTTGGCTATAACTAATTATATATAATATGTATAGCTGCTTGAAGAGGTGATAAATAGGTTTGTCTCTCTTTGTTGAGCTTGGAAACTTTTTTTAACAAATGTGTGTTTTTTGTGAAATTTAAATAATAGAAGAAGCCAGTAGTTAATTAATTGTAGGCACCATTTTGCTCTGAGCCCCTGTATGCCTTGCTTTGTCTTGATGAAAACATTATCCCTAGCAGCAATACACAAATAGAGACAATTTTTGGATCACATCCCAACATTTAAAAAAACATTAAGAATTTGAACCATAAAGCCCTCCATCTTTGAGATCTTGCTATGTGGGATATTATTCACCTATAAAATCCACAAAAATCATCCCATGGTGTGTTAAACTGAGGTGAGCAGATAAAGCAAAGTTTGTGTACTGCTCCATAATAAGGAGAGCATGAAGAAGACTCTGTGGGAGAGAATCTGTGGCACAATTGGCTGACCAAATTGCTGCAACTGTAAAAAGGGAAGTTTGACTGTGAGTTGGCTGAGAGGAAATCCGCCCTGTCCTTATTTGTCTGCAGTTATGAAGAAAGTTGTGGTGAATGAAAATTCGCAGTTTCTAGGTGAGGCAGGTTTACTGAGAAGTGACATCAAATTGTACAGGTTTCCAAGTTACTAAAACAGACTGAGGGTCTTAAACTAAAATAAAACAAGTATACTGCGTTGTTGACCATTGAAACCTCCATCTCTGTTTGTGTTGATGATAAGTGATCTGTCCAGTAATATGGACAGACCACGAGAAGTGGCATTATTTGTTAGCTGGAATGTCTGGAGCAGATGACATTGGTGACTCAAGATGTCTACTCATATATCCCAGCTCCCTTTCTGATCTATCCTCTAACTGGAATCATATTTTCAGAAGTGGTCATACTCCCGTGAATAAGATCTGAAACCAGTGATTGAGTCTCTAGGTTGCTCAGGAAAAGATGGTTATTGAGCTTTTAAGTCAAGTGAGAAATTATCTTGTTTTCCCCCAGAGACCTCTATTCTTAATTAATTTTAAAGCGCCAGAACTCTGTTCTGTGTTCTGTTCTTCTCCTGTAGGTTCAGTTTTACAGCTGAGTGACTGCATTTATTTTCTTTTTCTAAAATTCAATATTAAAAAAGGTGTATATATATATATATATGTATATATGTGTGTGTGTGCGTGTGTGTGTGTGAAAAGAAAATGAGTGACAGGCTGAAACAGTGGGTCAGTTTTACCAACAATTTATGTAGTTAAGATGTTGTTGCCATGGTGAGGAACAAATGTGATTTTAGGCCCGTGTTTCCTGTTGAGGTGGAGGCTGTTCCTAATGTCAGTGTAGTTGGAGGTAGAGATTATATCTATATTTAATCCAAGTAAAGTGTGACACATCTGCCATGCCGACAGTTGTATATTTAGCCGCACTGAGGCATTACTTGCTGAGAGCAGGAATTTTGTTTCCCAGTGAAACATGCAGAAACGTGGAGTAATAATTTAACTTTCTTCTGTTGTTATTCCCTGAGTGAAAATGTTTTCAAAGCATCATTGTTCAAAACAAGTAACCTAGAGAAGTAGAATAAATTGACCTTCAAATTCAAATTACAACAGTTTAAAATTAATCTGTAGAATCTGATGATGTAATTTTAAATGCAAGACTGAGACATGGGAAATAACCTGACACATAGAGTTACAAACAAAAACACTCAGTCGAAATAATGTGAGACCATTAGTAGTGAGTCATGGTTTTAAAATACAGTATTACTGTCAGTGTAACACAAAACAAAATGTAATGTACTTTGTATTTGTTGGTTTAATAGATTCCACACTCAGACATTACAGTAGCTCCTCCTGCTGTTACTGTATACCTCTGACTCGGCTCCAACAGTATAGAAACCTGTTCACTCCTATTGATTGGCTCTGGGGCCGTCATCATTGTTCTTGTCTCTCTTGTGTGAGACTGTTGACCGTGTGAACGTGCTCAGCTCTCTGTCACAACACACTGACACGGTTGAAAGCAGAGCTCAGATCCAAGATCTCAGTTGAGACCATTTACTAATAGGATAGATGTGGTCACAGTCTCCTGGTGTGCCACGGTTCCTGCAGAGTGAAAGGGAATAACTTAATGCCAGCTCTATCACGTCCCACTGGGGACTTAACAGAGGGCTGTTTATCAGTTTGCTTTTGAGCATGGAGAAACTGCAGAGAGAGATAAACAAGCTCTTCAACTCAAGTATGAGCCGACCTGCCGCTGAGACGACGTCCAGGGCCTCATGTCTGGTAATAGAGCAGAATCACAGGCGTTCTGTTTCCTCTTGCCTTTTCACAACACTGTTTTCCACACAGCCAACTTGGCTAAAAGATGAACCACAGTCCAACCTCCCTCTATGTTCTGGGGCTCGCTTGTCATTCTGGTGTTTTTCTTTGTACATGTCTCACCTTTTGTTCCACAGAGACATGAGGTTCACTTTACATAATCGTGCAGGTCAACTTAGAGGCCCGTCGGTCTTAAGGTGTCCCGTGAATCTGTGTGAATTATAGTGTTTTAACAACTCGGAATGTTTCCTAAATGTTTCCAGATGTGCTCAATATATTTGGTTATTACATCAGTGTTGGATGTATGTGTGATATAGGTAACTTTCTAGCTTATGAACTCTTGGCTTGTAATGTTCATTTACATTTAGAGAAAATGAGAAACGTGTGTTCCAGGAGTGATTGCCTGGGTCAAACATGAATTATGAAACCCCTTCATTTTACCTCTGTCTCCTTCTTTACAGCCCACAGTGGGAATGGGAGATGATGGAGGATAAAGCCCCTCGTGTAGCCGACTACTTTGTGGTTGCAGGCCTCACTGACTCTTCCAAGCCTCTAGAAGAGGAGCTCCACTTTGATGAAGCCGCTCCCAAGTCCGTGAAACCCAAAGCCCCCATCACTGATGTAGCTGTAATTATCAGATCTCTGGGCGAGGAGGTTCCGCCGGGGTTCACCTGCATAGAAACCACTCCCTCAGGCCTCTCCGCAGAGCTCAACGGAGCCAGCCTCAGGGGTCCACAGATATTCTTGTGCTTCAAGCGAGGTCGAGATAAGCCTCCACTGACAGATCTTGGGTAAGCACTAATCCTTGGGCTCTGACCCATTACTCAGGCTGCACCACTAATCACTTTTCTGCCCTCTGTTGGCCTAATCTGCTCTTAAACACATCCTTTAGTGTCACGTTGCTGCAATGGATACATCCTCCCTGTTGCATTCCAATGTTTTTTCACCCGTGTTTTATGTCAGTTATATACACAGTCTGTATTGTTGTTGTGTTTTAGGGTGTTGTACGAGTGGAAAGAGAAACTGAAGCCTGGATGTCACATCGTCCAGACCACACCCTCAGGTCGCCCTGCCAACATCAGCACCTCATCTTCGCAGCGCATCTACATCACTTATCGCCGTGCCCCAAAAAGCCAGCCCCATACTTCACTCGCTGTTACCAATGTCTGCATCATCATACCAGGGAAGGGGGAAGCACCTCCTCACACCTTCTGCAAGGTGGACAAGAACCTCAACAGCAGCATGGTGAGACACCCATTTGTTGTGTTTGTACCAAACACATTTGCAAAAACAAGTTCACTTTTTCATTTCACTTTACTGACTTTTTAATTTGTCAAATTCCAGTGGGGGTCCTCAGTCTACCTTTGCTATAAGAAGTCTCTGGCTAAAACAAACACCATTGCATACAAAGCAGGTAAACCGCTTACACATGGTGTAATTGTCACAACTCTTTGCTTGATGTGTGGATGTACAGTCATGTTTTTTTTTTTCTATCCGTCCTTATGTCCAGGTCTGCTGTGCAGATACCCTGAAGAAGACTATGAGTCCTTCCCACTGCCTGAGTCAGTGCCTATGTTCTGTCTGCCCATGGGAGCCACCATCGAATGCTGGCCGGCGCACACAAAGCACTCACTGCCTGTTTTTTCTACATTTGTGCTGACAGGAGGCTCTGGAGAAAAGGTGAAACCACCTGCTAGCTGGGGTTACTGAAACTACAACCATCGTAGTTTACATTTGTACTGCAGGACACTGGCAAACGCCAGTTTTTTTAAGACGCATTCCTTTAAGCTTTGCTTCAACTGTTAAGGATTAATGTTAATAATGTTTCAGTACAACTACTCATCTTTGTCTCCCTCTGCCTCTCTGTCCTATGTGTGCAGTAGTATTCCTTCAGGATTAGTTTTTGAATGAACTACAGTAGTACTTAACGTCATTTAGCCCTAATCAACTTCTTAACGCTGCCTGGAATACTAATGGCCCTAATGCTGTGATTGGAATACTTAAAGACCAGCAGTCTTTTTTAAAAGTTCTCTATATAACGTTCACATCCCATCTGCTGAATAATGGATGACTCGTGCAGTACTAGGGCACATTTTTAAAATGCTGATTTTCAGTATTCACTTCATTAACTACAGACCAAATTAAATCAAATTTAGTTGCAAAAGGGAATTTTAAATAACAATTGATCAAAGTGGTCGCATTTGGAACGTTTTCCAGATTTTGGGGTCTCTGAGGATATGCAGTAGAACAAGTTGAAGACAGACAGACACTGAACAGACCTGAATATCAGAGGAGGTCAGGTCTCTATCTGATAAATAAGATGGAGGCAGCACATTTATTGACTTTTCACTGGTCGTCCATTAGGGACATTTCCCTGTCTTTATGGTTTGATCCAAATGTTCGGTACAATAGGATGCTGAAAGCACCCCGTGGAGATTTGCTTTATTCTGACAGTGGTCAGTGGCCCATCCATGACACGACTTCATCACTGAGGATGATAAAACCACATCCCAAAGATTCTCTCTGCATCTTACTGTGAGCCCTAAACCTGACAATTATCAGCAGGTCATACTGTCACTGTGTAAAAGTATGGTGTTTCTGTCTATTATTAATGGCTTTAATGAGAAGATAACACCTAATAAAATGACTGTTACAGTAAGTGTTCATTATGTACTGCTTGTCTCTTAGAACTTTGTATGAATAGTTTGAATATTTGTTGCACAGAGTTTGAAGTGTTGCTCTGTACAGTACGTATGATCGGTGTGTTATTTGTATGGTGGTGTGCAGGTGTACGGTGCAGCCATTCAGTTCTATGAGCCTTGCCCGGAGGAGAACCTGTCGGAGCGTCAGTGCTCTCAGCTCGGTCTGCCGAGCCCTGACCTCAGACCTGACGGGACCAGAAGCGTTTACAGCAACAAGAGCATCTGTCTGCTCTCCCACTGGCCCTTCTTCCAGTCGTTCAAGAGCTTTCTCACTTTCCTCTACCGATACTCCATCTCTGGACCGCATGCTCTGCCCATAGAAAAGTAGGCGAAGATGTACAGATTGATTTGTTTTGTCAACGGGTTCACAGCTGTTTTCTTGCTGACACAGTTGAGCAATGTTTTTAATACATTTTCCTTTTTTTGCCAGGCATGTTTCTCACTTCATGCAAAATGTGCCGTTCCCCTCCATTCAGAGACCCCGTATACTAGTGCAGGTGAGAACAGGTGCCACGTTAATGTATCATATTATTAGAGCTTACATCCTTTACATACTAATGTGTTCTGCGCCTCTCCCTCAGCTGTCTCCACATGACAGTCTGATGCTGAGCCAGCCTGTTTCATCTCCGCTGCCTCTCAGGTGAGAACACAGATTGAATGTGTCAGTGATCACACACAGATGTCCTCTGTTTGCACCTTCCTTCATCCCAAACCTTGTCCTCTTCCTGTTTGCTCTTCAGTGGTGGAAGCCTGTCTACTTTACTCCTGAATTTGGGTCCAAAGAACGCAGCCACACTCCTGGTGCTGGCCGTCACGGAGCACAAGATCCTGGTTCATTCCCTGCGTCCAGCTGTTCTCACCAGTGTTACAGAAGCTCTCGTGTCTGTAAGTCTCCAGCTCCTTCTTTCTTTGTTATTTAAAAATAGCTCTGAAGGTGGGCTTTAATGTGATTAGACTGAAAGTACAAAGGTAGCTGTGTTTAAAGGAAAGGCTCTTGCATTATGAGTCACTGAAAATCACAATGGAGATGTTTCTCAGCCAGTGGTTCCCAAACCTTTTCTGCAGAAAAGACTGATGTTGAGCCCCCCACTCTGACATATTTGTACTTTAAAACTAGTCTTTTCTACAAAACTGTTTATCTAATAAAAAAAATGTAATCACCGCAAACTCCCCTCTGTGAGACAAATTAGAAAATGTTTTTAATTTAATTTTCTTTTTCTTGATGGCTCGCCCCCAGATGGGTCGAAGGCATAAATGTAGAAAAGCGAGTGCACCTAGAGACTGCTACCCAGTTGTTTAGATCCAGTGTAACGATAAATGTCTTGACTCTTTGCAGATGATCTTCCCCTTCCACTGGCCGTGCCCTTACATTCCTCTGTGTCCTCTGGCTCTGGCCGATGTGCTCAGTGCACCCTGTCCTTTCATCGTGGGCATGGACTCTCGGTACTTTGACCTTTATGTGCCCCCGTCTGACATCACTTGTGTAGATCTGGACACCAACACTATCTCTCAGTAAGTGACCCATCACCACCGTTTACTATTGTTCTGTTCTGCTGCGAACACATGAGTAGAGTGTTATCAGTGAGAAGTCCTCTTATGTAAGAATGTGAAGTATACTAGCTGTACATTAAGGCTGCTCCTCCCTAACCCATAAATCAAATGCTGTTTTGTAATTGTATCCTTTTTTCCCAATGTTTCTCTACTCTCCTCCTATACAATGAAAACCATATGGTGTGCTTTCAGGAAAGACGACAAGAAGGCTCTAACGTGGAAAATTCTGCCCAGACGAGCTTGCAAATGTCTCCTAAATTCCCTGAGTAAGATCTGTCAGCAGCTCCTCGAGGGTGAGTCCTGTCGTACGCCGTTATTTTTACACCTGCATGCGTCTATGATTTCTTTAGGTCAGCTCCCCCAATCTCCTGAGTCAGCACAAACCACCGGTTTACCGGCAGAGCCATTATGCTAACGTGGGTTTGAAAAACAACTTAATGTTAAGTGCTTCCCATGAGATACAGAGGATGAAGTGTAATTTAATCTCAGTGGAAGCCACTACTGTTACTCTGTGTAATACACACTCCTCCAATAAACATATGCTGACATTTTATTAATCACCAGCTAACACACAGAACCCGTGTTTTCACGACCCTGTAAATACAATGACACGGGTGAATAACCACAACAAGCAGCAGCCTTGGTTACTCAGTGCTTTAGTCTAATTACCAAAGCAATACTGCATCATGTACGGCTAAATGTAAATTAATAATAATATCACATACTTAGACTCTGTGTAAAACTGTATGCACATTTTTCAATAGGTCACATTAGGTGTTTTTTGTTTTTTTTTTAGTTTTGTCACATTCAATTATATGTGAATTAGAGCTTTATTCTGATGGCGCTTGATTAACGAAAATAAGAATGAATGATTCATACAAGACTTGAGTTTTAATTTTCCTCTATGTCTGAAGTATTCGCTGCACAATTTAGTGTTGATTATGTCTTTAAAAACCATTTAGTAGAAAAGGAATCTGAAGCTAATTGTTGTATTGTTTTCGACTAAAAATAAGTGAAATATTCTTATTTTTTTATAGGCAAAATAAGTGAAATATTCTTATTTTTTTTCTTCACGATTAGAGGCTTGAATTTAATTACATTGCCTTTACAAAAAAATATAAAAATATATAATTGTTAAGTAAAAGTATAACTAATGTGCACTGGACCCTCGGATGGATTCACTCTCCTCGGGGAAAAAGCATGACATTGTACTTCCCAGGAACAAACAGAAATGTTTCTGTTCTTCTCTCAGGCGGTCAGGTGAACCGCGAAGATGTCCAGATGGAGCAAATGGTGACCGACCGAGAGCTTGATGGAGGAAAAAGTCTCCAAACTCTGGAGCTGGAAATTCAGGAGGCCTTCCTGAGGTTCATGGCGGCCATCCTACGAGGCTACCGCTCCTTCCTGCTGCCCATCACGCAGGCACCCTCTGAGAAGACCACAGATGCTAGCTCATTATTTGACCTCCAAGGTGACTGAACCTGTTACCTACTGTAGAATGGTATCTTTGGTGTGTGTATTCCAGAGGGTCCCAACCACTGGCTCCAGAGCAGAACAGGGCCATAAATCATTTTGAGCCTCAACATTTACAACCTTTTCCTTAGTGTTATCAGAATCATGTTACCAAGTACATTTACATATATGCAGAATTTGACTGATTGTCAAATAAGATTATAATTAAAGTCTAGAATAACATATGGTATACTTTTAAAAACAAACAGTGAACAAACGATGAGAAACAGAGGTGTTATATATACCTCGGTCTGTATGTAAGGGTATGTTTGCTGAGAAACTACTTTTCTTGTTTATTGTAATAAATCACGAATGGTGTTCGATCATCACTGTCATGATGACTCGGGTTTGTTAGCTCAATCCTGAGCAGGAAATTGGCTGAGATGCTGTGCTGGACAAACAGCCAAAACAAACGGCTCAGTGTCTCCATAAATCTGCCCACTCTTACAGTGACAGTGAGCAGAGCACAGATAGAGAGCATCTTGCGTCACAGTACAGAATTAATTTCCTGTGTCTTAATCCAGACCATGTACGATGAAGTATTGTTCTAATGGTATGTGAAATGAAATATTTACAATCATATCGTATGTGTCGTAGGCTTCCTGAAGAGCAGAGAGCGCTCCCATCAGAGGTTTTACTCCCTCATGATGAAGACTCAGATGTTCAGCCGTTTCATAGAGGAGTGCTCCTTCGTCAGTGACAAAGACGCTAGCCTGGCTTTCTTTGATGAGTGTGTCGATAAGGTGAGGACACAAATCGTCTTCGGCAGTGAATTTCTCTGCGCGAGACTGTGAACTTGGGACTTCAGATTATGGTACTGCGTATGAACCCACAGTGTCAACGACATGCTGTTGTAGCTCACAGTAACTGATGATAAAAATCAATCAGGATAGCTACCTTCTAGAGCAGGGGTCTTCAAAAGAAGGTCAGCGACCTTTGGGGAATCGGCAGGGAAGTTGTGACATTTTGGTTGAGGACATTTTATTTTGTTTTACATCATCAGTCTAAAAGCCCATGTTAGTATAAACAGGATTGTACCGATTTTTTTTAATGTACTGTTATCAGTTTGTAGCCAAAGAGCATTGAATTAGCCTGCTCTAAAACATGTTTTTATAACGTACTGTGCTTTTAACTGTTTTTTTTTTCTTACTTAAATTCTTCCTTTTTGATCATCATCATCTTCTCTGTCTTCTTCCCTACGCTTGTTTCCCTGCCATCTTCTCTGCTAGCTTTTCTCTAATGGAGGAAAGGTAAGTTAGTGGAGCCTGCTCTCTTGTTCTTTCTACACTGTCTTTTCTTTTTCTGTGCGTTTGGCATGAATTGTAATCTTACTAATTGCCCTGTCCACGGAGCCTAACTCTGCAGATAAGGTTAATGTATGTGTGTAGTCATTATTAATACATCAGAGGCCGGTTGGTTTAAAGTGGAGGGAGAGGAGGAGGTGCATTGGGCATCTATGTGTATCTGCGCAGTATAATATTTCAATGTGTTGATGAGCAGTTCAGCCATGGTGGACTCAGTGGAGTGAGGATATGCAGAGAATTTAGAATATTGGGAAACATCCTCAGTTAAAGCTGACCTTCAGGGATTTGACAGCATTTAATAACACATCTGTTCAACACGTGTTTTGCATAAACTCGCAAAAGACAAAACATCCTCCTCTGTGAAGAAAAAAAAATCCTCTCTGAACATTTGTGCAATCCAGGAGTCACATGTATATCCGGCATAGATGTTGTGAGCTCCTGTATGAATGGCGGTTGCGGTTTATTTTTGAGAAGTGGAAGTACTGCTTCATTGAGCGTCACCGCTGCTGAGGTCGACAACAAGTGTGTGATTGAGAAAGATTTTTGGGGTCTAAGAGGAAGGGCAACAAGCAGAGAAGCACTGAGTGAAATCACAGTCAGGCGAGGAAAAAGAACAGGTCAGCGACTGAATCACACTCTCAACTGAGTGGAGCCAGTTTCTCTGTGGAGCTGCTCAGCTGCAGCCACAGTATTAATGCTTTTGTGAAGCTCAGGTCTAAGATTAGCTTCTAATCAAATCAGATCAGCCAGGTTTTACCATCACAGAGAGCTGCTCACGGCTGATTTTGCCATATAAATAAATACGCTTTTTCTCCCCTCCGTTCATGTTCAAGGCTGTTTTCATCTCATGGGAATGCACAGGATTGAAGGCAGTCGTTAGTTATCTTTTGGTTAAATGAATTATTGGTGGCTAAGTAATAAGCAGCGCTGGCTGCCATGGCAGAAAAGTGATTTCCTGTCCCTATGGAATGACATGGTGTTCTGTCCAAGTCACTGTGGCCAGGAGTTAATTAGTTTTAGAGACTCATGGATACAAGAACTAGCCTTGATGCGTCACTCGTGATCAATGTACTAAAGACACAGGAGATATTTCTGGGTGTGCGTAGCTTATCCACTGACATGTGAGTGTCCTCAGTGATATTTTATGACCTGATCCCAGGGCTAACACAGTGGCAGATGCCACTAAATACTTACTTACTCCAAAATACAAAAATGGAGGAAAAAACAAAACAAAATTGTGTTGTTTTTTTTTCAAACCAGACGGACAGCGAGCGGCAGGAGGAAACCAGACTGATTGAACTGGATGAATCCCACCGCAGTGAGCACACGGTCTACATCAATCCTCCAGAGCTGCCTCCACTACCAGAAGGCGAGGAGCATCCTCTGTGTTACAGGTACCACACTGCACTCATCGACTCATTCCTTTCTACAAAACTGATCACAGTATGTAGAGGTGCTGCACAATACAGGTGTGTGATTAGTAATGAAATCATCAGGTCAGGTGAAAATACATTTATTTAATTTAGTTTAGATAACTAACGTAAGATTATTAAAATAAATTAATTAAGAATAAATAACTATGTTGCCAAATGTTTGTTATTTTTGGTTATAAAGTTAGTTGTAATAATCATTTTGTTGTGGTAGTGCAAAATTGGTGCAGCTCCAGTTTAAACACACGATCTAAAAGACCACGTCTACAGTGAACCTGCAGATCTGTGGACGTATGACCAACTGCTGGCAGGCATCTGTGTTTATGCTGTTATACTATTCTCCTTGGTCTACTTTTGACAGGATCTCAAGAGACACATAACACTTGGCCAACATGGTTCATGTCATGTTCTGTTTTAGTTTACGTGATCATGTACAGCATGAAAGCATATTCGATGCCTCTTTGCAGCTACTCCTGGTTTCCAGTACTTGATGCTGAGCTGCTGGAGCCTCTGGAGGGACAAGGTCCTCCATCGGCCAACATGGTCTCACGCCACAGCAGTCCAGCCAGCCCCACAGCCATCTTCAGACGCTCCAAGCAGGTCAGATGTATAAGCAGTATTTTGATAGGAGACACGAGACATTCCTTTACTAAACTTTTTCTCTTAGTAGTTTTACTGTGACTGCATTAAATTCTACTGAATTTAAAATGCAATTAGGCTTACAAAGATTCCTACTTTTGTATTTCAGGAGATCAAGTCAGCTCAACGCATGGCCAAAACCTACTCCTCCATGCCTCAGATGTGGTCCAAGTGTCTCCTGCGACACTGCTATGGCCTGTGGTTCATCTGCTTGCCTGGATTAGTGAGCACCTCACACTCGAAGGTGCGAGCCCTGCGGACAGCCTACGATGTCCTAAGGAAGATGCAGGACAACAAGTTGCAGGCTCCTGATGAGGTAGAGATCTGGAACAAAAACACAGGAATACAGTAAACCTTTAATATCCAGTCATGTTTTTTTTTTCATTTAAGGATAAATGTGTTAGTGTTAAAGTCTCTTTCATTCTGTTCCAGGTGTGTTACCGTGTGCTGCTGCAGTTATGTGGTCAGTACAGCCAGCCCGTCCTGGCTGTTAGGGTCCTGTTTGAGATGAAAAAGGCTGGGGTCCAGCCCAATGCCATCACTTATGGTTATTACAACAAGGTGTGTGCCCTTGAGAAACACTAAATCTGTCCAAGAAGAAAACAATGTCCTTTCTTGGTACGGTGCCATTGAACACTCCCCATTCTCTCTGCAGGCCGTGTTGGAGAGCACCTGGCCGTCCACCACCAGAGGGGGCCACTTCCTGTGGGGGAAGCTGAGAAACGTGGTCCTGGGTGTGCTGCGCTTCAAGCAAGCAGGAAGAAAGCAACCAACATCTCACAGAGACCCGCAGCTTTCAGGTGAGACGAATAGTGACCTGGACCGGACGGTACACTTCTGAGGAAGACTTGTACTACAACCTCATTTGTCCATATGTCATGTAATACTCTTAATAATAGATGGTAAAACAAAAAAGATGTTTTACAATGTTGCCTCTAGTTAAGATTGTTGACATATACAGAAAATTACTTCATAATTTTACACATCTTGAGAAATGTAATCACATGTTGTGTGGTGTAATTTAAAAAGAGCTTTCGTGTCCTCAAGGCAAGGTCTGATAATGAGGTCAAATCAAGCCTCCTTCTTTCTGAGCCACATTCCTGTAATGTAGTTAATTAGAACAGAGTGAAGGTTTTTTCCTCAGAACACAGGTTTTTAATGTCCTGCCCTGATTCCCACCACAGCCCTGGGACTCATTAGCATAATAACCTGAAGGACTTTAATCAATAGGCTTTTTCACTGTACTGCATGCGTGTGTTTTTGTGCGTACAGAGTGTTTGTGTGCGGGCGTCAGCACGTAAATGGGATGTGATTCATTGAACACATCCTCTGACTTTTGCATTGTGAAATGTTCCGTACTGGTGACAGTTATGAATGGAGTGACGAAAGCCTTTCATTCTCCACACAAAAAAGATAATATAACAATTAAAAGCATTGACATTTTATACAAAGCTGCTGTTATTTTCACACGAAAATATCTCTGGGATTCCTTTTAACCTCCTGTTCTCCTCTTGTGTTTTCTCCTCCTCAGATGGCAGTGACCTCGACACGGTCAGCCACGGCAGCTTGGACAGTGCCAACGACTCTGCTGAGCGGACGTCCATCGACACAGACTTCACCAAAATGGACTCGAGCGATGATGGGTTCAGTACAGGTATGAAGTCGTGACTCTTTCTCCTGGTCTCTCCTGTTTTCTCAGCTCTAACTTCAGCCTTCTACACACATGGATGTTGCCTTTTTTGCCTCTCTTTTGTTAAGCATCTTCACAATATGATCATCATCAATATTTTTTTTTATAATGTTACTTTGAGTTCGTTGCCTTTTTGTTGATCATGAGATGAACACATAAGAAAATGCTTTTTTCTCTTGTCATATTTCAGGTGGCCAGTCAGACCAGGGCTATGATTCACTGTCTAAGGAGGAGGAGAGACTCTGCGTCCGGCCGACTGACAGCACACCCCTGCTGGAAGACAAGGGAGTCAATCAGTCCGGTGAGTTTAATGTTTTCATTTGTCTGCGACACTCCACAGACTGACCATTTCTGCAGAAGTGAATCACTGCTGAATGTCAGCATAATGAACTCCCCCTCCCTGTAAAAGCTGAGCCGTCAAATCACTGTGTGGGTGTGATGGCTCTTGTACCCATCCATCTGCTGATAAATGTTGTTGAGAGACAGTTTCTGAGGATGCATGATTGTGTTACATAAGCGGGAGATTGTGTACATTTGGTTTATAATGTGCTGCACAAAACTATGTAATCTTTCTCTCTTTTTTTTGTCTGTATATGTTAGTCATTACAGTGAAAGAAATGTTTTAAACCAGTGATCCTGAACTCCCGGCCCAGGGGCCACTTGCTCTAGGGATATTTGTTTTTTAAAATTAAAATGCATAAGTTTCTGCACCATAATATTATACATTACTTAACAGTACGTCTGGTACACAAGCTGCAGCCATTAATTTTACAGGCAGCTCAGAGGAGATTATTGCAGGTTATAAATGTCAGTGAAGTCGTTCTGTCAGGGAGAGCAATTTATGTTTTGAGGAGAGAATACGTTGAAAACATTATACCAGTAATGAAAATTATTTGCAGGTAAACTTTTTTCGCATCACTCACCATAGCAAACAAACTAATGTCTGCTGGGATTAATGGATTCCTCAGACATGTTGGAAGTGAGGGCATTAAAGTAATGATGTGGACCAGTGTCCAAAAATACATTTTATTATCAATTCGGGTGGTAAATCTTTTAAAAGCAAATGAGTTTGATTTCTAAAACATGTAATTTTCTCACACTACCTTAAGGAACAGGGTATCCAAACTGCATTCATAGCACCCTCTGCAGGCCAGTGTCTTAGACATGTATTTCTTATGTAAATGAGGTCATGTTTTAAGAGGTTTAACCTCATTTAAATCTCCAACAGCTGAGGTTGAAGTACGGACCAGCAGAACATCTCCCTCTGTCAAATGTTCAAATAAGTCATCAGACTTTATTAAAAAAGGCCTTTTGCCTGTAGCTGTTCGGGTCGCTATAAACAAATGTTCAGCCTTACAGAGTCAGAGATGAATGTGTTGTCGTTCCTCTCCTGTCACAGGCAGTGGCTGCAGGCTTGTTAACATTCCATCTGGCAACACCATTCTGTCTGGAGCCCTTCCAAAAACTGAGAGGCCAAAATCTCTAGACTTATCCGGCGGATTGGAAACGCTGAGGTTCCCAGTGCCTCATGTGGGCTCAGTAAAGCAGCTTCACCTCACTGCTGATAGGCTGCGTGGTGTGAAAGAAGAGGAGGCAGAAACAGAGAAGCCTGTGGTGGAGAGGAGCAGGAGCTGCAGCAACGCTGTGGAGTCGCCCGGTGTTGCTGTGACTGTGAAGAGAACAGGCGTAGAGATGGGATTCGATCCACTGTCGCTAATGGCGTCGGATAGTTTGCCGGAGTGTGAGGAGGAAAAGTGCAGCACTCCAACAACTCCCCGTAACCTTGCCACGGAGATAGAGACGTACATGAACAACCGCAGCAGTCCTCTGAACAGACACTCACCTGCAGACGTGCAGGAGCCCTGCAGCCCCTTGTTTCAATCCTCCTCATCCCCTCAGTCCTCTCACCGACCCACGCCCCTCCAACGCACCAACACACAGATCTCACTGCCCCTCAAATCTCAAGAAAAACTAAGGTCGTCGATGTCACTTCCTCTGGGCGCCTGTATTAAGGACAGAGAGAGGCCCTCGTCGTTTGTGTCACCTTCGTCGCCTACACCCTCCAACTCATCATTTTCCATGGACTCTCTCTTCACACCAACACTGGACATATTCAAGAGCAGCGTCATATCAGCAGGGAAGGGCGTGGCCGAGAAGGCCAGTCGACTTTACTCACGCCTGTCCTCGCAGACATCATTGACACAGGTCAGAAGTCAACACACTTTTTTTTACATGAAGACACATCTGCTAATTACTGAAAGTGATTGGAACTATGGCTAGTTAGTTAGGGTCTTGTTAATGTAGCCATCCAATGTGGAAACAGTGTCAGTTTTTGTGAAACAGAAACATTCGTTTACATTGGTTTGAATTAGAAAACAGTCATGAGAAGAATAAGTAGAAAACCAACCTGAAAACACCTGCTGTGCTGTGTGTTACCCACACAGGTGTTTCACTTATATAACACTGCCTCTCATTTCACTATATATTTATTGAAACCCAATCTACAGAAGTATCAGTGACAGTGACCTAATTGTAATGTGTGATATTTTTCTCTCCTCCTCTCTGTCAGGATGTAAACTGTGACCGGATCAGTGTGTCGTCACTGACCTCTGCTGAAACAGACTGCTCCTGGTTCTTCGATGCCGACTCTGGTCTGGACCCAGATGGCTTCACTTCTCCTCAGCATGGTAACATGACGCGACTCAGGAGGAGCCCTGTTGTAGGCCATGCTAATGCAGGCAGCCCAGTCACACCCAACAGAGTCTTCAGGCACAACTCCTTCTCTGGTAGGTTCAGCGTCCTGCACTTTGATTACCACTATTTTTTTTATTTTTTTTTGCAGCACATTGACAAAAAGTAGTTTGTTGTTTACAGTAGTTGTCTTCTGTTGTGCACAGACACATTTGTTACATTTAGTTGTTGTTCCCACAAACACGCCTACAGAGTCTAAATTTACACTGAGTGATGGAGAGACTTAGATGTTGCTTCAGCTGAAAGTAGGCCAGCAGGGATCGAAGCTTCTTCCTACTGGTGTAGTTTTTCTACACTGAGCCACAGACACTGTTCTACTCAAGAACACATAAACTGTTCTTTCAGAGGAATAGGTGTGAGACACAATTCCCTGAAGTCATTGATCTCCCACTGCTGAAACACTTGTTGTGTTCATTTTCTTCTGTCCACGTCTCATATGAATGCTCTGTAAAGACCACGTCAAAACTTGGACCTGTCTCTAATAAATGAATCCTTCACCATCTGTAGGTGGTTTGGCAATTTCCTGCAAATCTCCTCACACTTCAGATGCCTCCCCCGACACCGGCCGCTTCCAACCCAGCCCCAGTTACACCCTGGAGGTAAGGTGGTCACGACACCCGGTAAATCTACTGAGTCGTGATCAACTGTTGTGCTTCTTCTGATTTTTTTTTTTCCTTTTTCTTGTAGGTTCAGATTTCCAGTTGTTCTCTGTGTAAGACCTGCGACTCTCTGGTGTATGATGAGGAGATCATGGCTGGCTGGACAGCCAACGACTCCAACCTCAACAGCACTTGTCCTTTCTGTGGTACAGCCTTTCTGCCTTTTCTCAATGTGGAAATTAAAGACCTTAGACCACCGTGCAGGTACGAACCTTTCTTACATCCACCACAATATGTTGCCTATTTGGTGCCTAAATGTTTTTATCGTGAAGAGGGACAGAGTCTGTGCAGCTCAGATTTGGAGTATGTCACATATTTTACTGCCACAGTTTTACTACTTTACCTGTAAAGACAAACCGATCACATCCACGATGTTTGATAAACACCCAAACTAAAATATTTACAACGAGCAGCTGTAGAACGGTAGGTAGGATGTTAGAGAACTCCAATTCTTCATCAACATCTGCAACCCTCTTCTTTGTCCAGACCCAGTTTCTGGCAGTAATGCCTCGGATGTTTCTGCACACTCTGACAAAAAACTCTTTTACCCCTGCGATCTATTTCAAGATAAGTCTGTTTCTTCCTCCAGGTCTCCTCAGGAGAGCAAGGCTGTTCCAGAGGAGGACGTTTCTGACTCACTTAACAGTGAGATTAAAGCATCTCCCAAAGACTGTGCCGCTCCTTCATCCACAGCTGTCCCACAGAGGCAGGAGGTCAGTGGGACTGCAGGAAACTCCTCCTCCTCTGCTCCGGTGACGGTGCCATACCTGAGTCCTCTGGTTCTGTGGAAGGAGCTGGAGAGCCTGCTGGTGAATGAGGGAGACCAGGCCCTGTCCTCTGCCACTGTTGTCGACCAACACCCTATCGTCTTCTGGAACCTCGTGTGGTATTTCCGTAGACTGGATCTGCCAAGTAACCTGCCTGGTCTCATTCTGGCCTCTCAGCACTGGAGCAGAAAGGAGCAGGTAAATATGTCATACATATATCACTGCGTAATCAACACAGTTTATTCGGTTTATATATATATACCACTAGTTCATATGTAGTGCAATTTGTGTTTTGCAGTACACAAATGCATATGTATATAGACATACCACAAGTAATTACAATGGCCTACTGTGTACTCCGGTTGCTAAGCAACGACATATCGTTGCCATACTCACTGGGTTTTGTGTTTCTGTGCAATGACAATAAAGAAAGTCTAAGTCTACAGGGAATGTACAGGGTCCCTGCAGAGGGCGCTATAAAGCTGGGGTCCCTGGCACTCTATTTTGTGCCACAACCAGTTACATAAGACAATATTTTCATGACCAGTCATTGATAATTAAATATGACAAATGAAAAGATCATGATCATGAAAACAAATACGAAGTGCAAAAACAAAAACCCTTTGAATATGAAATGGCTGAATCACTGGGTTATCTGTGTTTGTTTCTGTCACGTGCCATCCCGTTTTGCAGCCTTTAAGTTGGAATTAAAATACAACTTGAACTGATTTAAGTTCGAACTCTACAAATTATGGCTTTTGTTGTATGTTGTAAATTTTGAACGTTTTCTCCTCCCCCAGAGCGTTTCGTCAGAGGACAGTAAACAGGTGCTCGTAAGGATAATGTGGGACAACCTGAGGCTTCATCAAGACAAAGTTCAACCCTGCTACGTCCTGTGGAACGCACATTGTAAGTCACTTCACCGTCTGGTTCAAAAGTCAAAGACTTACCACTGAAGTAACTTCTCACGGCACTGCTGTGAATAATCAAGGTCAGACGTTCCTATGCAAATTGAGTAGTTCATATGAATTAAACAGGGACCTCGTGCATAATTCCATCTACATTTCCACAGTTAATGAAGAACAGAGACGAACAAGCCTTTGATGAGTGTATATTTTATCTGTGTGGGCAGGTGCCAACTCCCTGATTCGCTCCGGGCTGTGTGAGGAAGGACAGCTCTTTACTGTGGAGCTCCTTCAGGGCTTTGTGAGGAGCATTAAGAAGAGTGATGTCTATCAGCCCATGAGCCAGATCATCCAGCTGCTGGGACCAGAGCTGGGCTTCAAAAGACAGAGGTAAGGAAATAAAAACAACACTCCTCGTAGAATCACTGAGTGAAAAACATGTCAGAGAAATGGTTTAATGACAGCTGCTTTCTTTTCTTTTCCAATAAAGGAGTCTCTATAGAGATTTGCTGTTCCTCACACTGGTGGCACTGGGGAAAACCAACATTAACATAAGTAAGTTGCAGAGCTTGTCTGTTCTTCCAATGACTCTATCACAACATTACCACGGGGCAAAAAGAAAACTTTTTGTGATTATGATTCTCCACAAGAACAAGTACGTTTTTATATATATATATATATATATATATATATATGGCAGTGATGTGTAGGCAGCCTCACTCTGTGTGTAGTGGGGTGATGTGCAGTGTGTAGGTATGAGCTGAACCCAAACCACAGTGACGACAGTGAGCAGCATGTTTTTTTATTTGATTTTCTTATTTTCTTCTCTCTAACAGATGTTATATTTCAAGCCAAAAGGAAGTAAATATTTCTGAATTAAACAAAACGTCTTCAGACTGATACTGTGGTCACAATGGACAATAAATCATTAAACTAAGGATATTAAAAAAACTCTCTGTATAGTTAACACAGCCAGAGAACTTTACATCAAAGCACATTTCAGTTGAAAACACAGACCGATACTGGTATTGGTGAACCTCACGACTGGGTCAGTAAACTGTCCGTCTTTGTTTTTCCATGTGAAGTTGGACAACTTTTGGGGAAAATGTTGGACTTTTCACTTATCAAAACTTAAATTTCTCACCACTCTCTTTATCTGCAGATGCTTTTGATCGGGAGTACAAGCTGGCTTACGATCGACTCACACCCAACTTAGTCAAACTGACACACAACTGTGACAGGCCCCCCGGACCAGGGGTCATGGAATGCAGGAGGACTTTTAAGGAACCCAGTCTGTGAACCATTTCTCTTTATTATTTTGACTTTGACATTTTGATCACTGCTGCTGATTTTTAGGTCTTTACTTTTATGGACTTTTATAGCTCACCTGTCTGAGCTTATGGAGAAGCACAAGTTATATAAAAAAAAAGACAATAATTGTACAACAACTGCCACAGGGGTACTTTGTAAAGCTTTGCTGTATTTTCACCAAAAACAGTAATCGAACATTTCTACATTAAAAATACAAATCTGTAATATTTCTATATATATTTGTACATTCTGTTAAAATTCTTTAAAAAAAATTACCTTAGTGTTTAGACTGTTGTTACCTGTACCTGACATTTTCTTTTCTACGAAGCACTTTGACCGAATCAGCTCATAGCAGTGTGAGACTTTACCTAATACAGTGTTCCACTGAATTCAGTCTGACACAGTTAAACCCATTAACTGAGCACCGGCTTCTCCACACACCTAAATACACACATTTACATATAACGTCATTTCTTAATCAAAAAAGAAAGTTCTCAATTAATGTAAACTATATGAACATTTATTTTTTTGTATCATTTTGTACAACATTGAATCCAAAAAGGGACAACATGTCTGTTATTTATTTGTCATTTAATGAAATATATCTTTTTTAGAGTAGTGAGTGAATAACCAATGTGTTAAATGGGACCATGAAGGAAATGTTTCCTTGACCGCAGTACAATCACACTATGAGTTATGTAAATATTTAGAACGTGAAAGTGTCATGTTCATTTTAACAACAGGTCTTTTCGATGAGAAAGATTGCTGTAATGACATCGTTGAACATTGGTGTACAGGTGATTTCTTTCTCGTGTCACACGTGTTTATCATTCATCAATGTTTGGACAATTGTGCACTTTTATTGGTCAGTTTTTATCACTTATAAAAGAGACTGTTCTAACAGATGGCAGTGCAAGTGCTTTGACCTTAGAATTACTGTTTAGGCTGCAAAGGTCACAACTTTGACCCTCAACTCTTTCAGTGTTAAATTACCGTGTCATTTTTCTCCCACATCCCTCAGTTTAACTGACTAATCCTGCCTCTGCACGTGGTCAACGTGCACATGCTGAACCTAAACGTCATTATGACTAATAATATGATTAAAATGCTGGAATAAATAATATATATGAAAATAACACTGGTTACACAGAATATTTATACATATATCACCTTGTAAGTTGTACTTAAAGCACTGAAGACCAAAAATACTACACGTTGTTTACACAGTATCTATGTATTTATCCCTCGTATCACAGATACTAATTTGTATGTTTGTTTGGGTTTTTTTTAATCAAAACAGGAAACAACGTTCCCTGGCTGGATCTGTACGTTGCTTTCATGTATTAATAAACATTTATTCTGTGGATGTTATGATGGAAGTTATATTTTTGTTTCTTTTTTTCCTATTTGGAAAAAAATATGTGATATGTGTCCTCCCTTCCCACTTACTCCCTACTTTCACCACAGATGTGTTGGAACAATGTCATCTGCAAACATCGTGACCATGGAGTCTCCTGTCTGATGTCATCTGTCAACCTGTCAATCACTCTAGCAAACGGAGAGAGGTAACCCCACTCTTAACTTGAACCCACTTGTCATTCCATCTCAGTGTCCTGCTCCACCCTCACATACTTCTCTGCCACTCCTGACTTCCTTTTACAATGTGTTAATTACAGCTAACCCTCAGCTTTAATTATATCCTTTGAAGCCTTTTTTTCCTGAACATTGTTGTTCATTTACATTTTGTACTAAAATAGAATCGGTTTATCATTTACTGCTGTTATAAAAACAGTTATTGCTGCCTTTAATTGCTAAAAGTAAATATGGAACATAACCCAGAAAATCAGGATAAATGATCCAGACGCTCCCAGTACACATGATTACAGTACACAGAGTGACATACATGGGTATCGGTCAGAGTTCCTGAGGGCCTCAGTTCAGATGGACACTGGGCAGATGATGATCCGATCCTCCAGCATCACACTCAGCACCAGGAAGATGAAGTAGAGGAGAAACATGGTGGAACCCAGCACCTTGTTCATCTTCCACTTACAGGTTGCAATAGAGATGATGACAAAGAGGAGCATTAGGAAGAGGAGCACGATGGCACAGAACAGTCCGTTGCTGCTGACGGCCACTGGAGCAAAACCGTGGCCAACCGAGTACAGGAGCCACGGCACCGGCAGACTGTGAAGCAAAGTGACAGAGTTAATCAGACAGAGTGGGCTCAAAATATGAAGCAGTTAGGAACATTTTCTTCATCTTTGACAGCTCACCCCACAGTGATGTCAAAGATGTTGCTGCCCACAGAGCTGGATACGGCCATGTCTCCCAGGCCTTTTCGTGCCACAATCACACTGGTTATAAGATCAGGAATGGACGTGCCTGCAGCCAGGATGGTGAGGCCCATTATCTCCTCTGAGATGCCGATGGTTTCCCCCACCTACAAGAGAACACCAGGTTTTTACACAGTTTTTTGTTTTTTGTTTTTTTTACATTATTTATACAATTATAGGGTTGGTAGAAGGTTTGAAGATTTGACCTTGTTGAATTTGTATCTGTTATTAAGCACACTATCAGCATTTTTCTAAAAATAAAAAACAATCAAATTTGATTGTCTAACTTACCTGATGAGCCCACCACACCATGAGGTAGGAGAAAATTGCAATCCACAGAATCGAGCCCAGAAATGTGACCACAAAGAATTTTCTGAATTTCTGTTTGGGAAATGGTTTAAAGATTAACCTTTAGCTCAGTTGTGTAGAAAGCTGCTGACATCAGACTGTGCTCACCTGGTTCCGAACATCAGGGAGAGTGAGCCACAAGGGGAAAACTATAGGCAGTAAGAAGAGGAAGGTGGTTTGTTTCTGCCACGTGTCCGGCCATTCCAAAGACAGAGGCTCATCGTCCTGCTCTTCTTCATCGTCATCATCATCAGGATCTTCATCCTCACTGGACTCATCACTGTCTTCATCACTGCTACTGTCATCACTATCCGAATCTTCAGAGTCGTCCGACTCCTGCTCATCCGGTGGAACCTTCTCCTGAAGTGTTTGTGAAAAAACGATGATGAATGACAGTAGAGAATTAAGAGACTTTTTTTAAGCTCTGTACTGTGCCTAAAGCTGTGTTTGGAGGGTACCCTCATGTCCTCTGGTTGCTCCTTCTTCTCTGTATCTTTAGCTGGCGCAGGCTCTGGCTGCGTGGTCTGCTCATTCTTTTTACCTCCTGCAAAACACAACCGATAGAATGTGGTTTTTCCAAGCATTGTCTATGTATACTGTATATAACAGAACTACAGTATATATACAAAGATTTGAACAGTGCACCACATTTACAGCCTTTCACATTACCTTCATTTTTCTCTTGAGTTTTGCTCTTTTCTTTCCGACTGGCTACATTAGTCAAACTGTGTGCCTTATCTTTAAATTTCCCTGTGGATGGTTAGAAATCAGAGCAATCATTAAAAGGAACGCACAAGGAACAAATGTGGGCGTGTAAAAGTAAGAAAGTAAGAAAACACTGCATGGTGCGGTCATTACGCCTCTTTTATATATTTTTTTATTTGTAGATATTTGTCTCATCTCTCGGGTCTTCCAAGGTCGGACCCTCCACTGACCCCTGTCCTCCACCTGTGTGTTTCACCCGAATCTCGTTATTGAGCCACACTTGTTTGTAACCTGCCTACTACGACTACCGCAATGTCAACTCTGTTTCTAAACATCTCCTGATTTAACTCTAAGTTTTTTAAATCCTGCATTCGGGTCCTTTGCTCAAACCTGGCTTTCAAAGCACAATTCATTCATTCATTCAGTAATTGTTAACTGTGATGTAATTTATTGTTCTATGCCCTTAATAGTCTTTAACACAGTACAGTCCGAGGGGAAACATTTATCTACTTAGTATTCATCCTAACACAGAGCTGCTGCCACACATCTCATTTTCTAGTCCCTTCACAATCGTTGTAGATCATTCATTACACACGGGGCTGTCGTCTGTCATTCACCTTCTCCAAGAGGGTCCAAGGTGTGAATCATGAGGTGGAAGATGGTGTTCCTCATGGTACTGTTGTGTAAAGAAGCTGAACTCCCCCCTCTCTGTAGAGATGGTTTCAACTGAGGAAAAACAGACAGAGAGTGTGTATCATGGCTGCCGCCAACGGAAACAGGCGCAGAGCAGTTTGTTTTGTTCTGTTTAGGGGTTTGAAGGGTTACATGAAAGTTCACGATGATTTCAATATAAGTAATAAGGAGGTTAACTCTACAGTGTTGGACTGCAAGAATGGTGGATGAAAACTTTCTCTCTGTCATTGATTTGTTTAGACTGTAGAATAATATTACCTTTAACCGGGTCTGGTCCTCAGGAGCAGGAGGGACACTGTCTTCACCGTCCCCATTTGTCTGTGTGCAACATTTTTTTGGAGTAGTAATCATCCAGTGATTTTTAAGAAAGAACCAAAATTATTTTGGACACATTTTTTTCTGTTCTTCCCACATTCTCATTTGATTCAGTAAAACTCAAAATACACCATAATACAAGACATGGAGGTTTTTTTTTTTTAATGGACACAGCCCTCTGCTGGTAGACTGTTGCAAATAGCCTAAATGTGTAGCTTCACTTTTAGTAGCAGCATCATAACAATAGAAGTCAATAGGAAAACTGAAAAACTGAGGAGAAAATTCCCTTTGTGTGTAGAAAACCCAAAGCTATAAAAATTAAACAAACACATTCAAATGATAAGATAAAAGGCACAAAACATAGACTCAGATCAATACAAAGGGTTTTCCCCATCGACCTTCATGTTTACAGTTTCCTGATTTACTTCCAAAGCATCACTTTTTGCAGATTTATTAAAAAGGTCTTATATATATATATCTTATATATAATCTATGTGTAAAAAATAATGTTTATACTGAGAGTGAAAATGTTCACCCAGGATCATTAGGATTACACAGAGTATGTGTTGTGGATTGCTACAGTACACAGAGCTGAACCTCTGGGATTATTCACTGTAGCTGATTAACTTTAGCTCACTTTAGCTTTTAGTTGTGCTAGTTATTACCAATATCTATTTTCTAAATAATTTAGATGTAAATAAAGATGTGTATTAAAGGGAAAAAAAAATCAACCCAGACACATTGTCCTAATAGTGCTTACCTTTTCAGGCTCCTCCACAGCAATGATTCTGACAATGTCTCTGTGTTTGTAGAGTTGGTTTTTAAAGGCCTGCTCGAGCTGCACGTTGAACTTCATAAATATCACATAGAGCGTGTAACCAGCCACCAGCATCATGCTCTCCCACCACATGATGACATTGTCCAGAAAGAAGATGATGAGCATGATCAGGTCAAATATGTAGAACGATACATCCCTGAACAGTGGCCACCAGGTCAGATGAAGCACCTCCCGGGAAAACAAGGCACACATTCCAATCACAAACAAAATGTTAAAAACTGCCGAACCAACTATTGTGCCAATGCCGACATTGCTGTGGGCTATGAAGACGCCGATCAAGGATGTGAAAAGCTCCGGGGCAGAACCTCCGGCTGCCATGAAGGTGGCTCCTGCCACATCATCAGAGATACCTAACTTCTCTGTGATTGCCCCCAGCGCAGGAACAAAGAACTCATCACACACAATTGCAAGTGACACAAACATGTACATCATCCCGAATATGTGCAGGATCACCCAGCCGCGTCTGCGGTCTTCCACAGAGAAGATGTCCTCAGGGTATTCACCCTTAACATGTGGGGCCTCATCAGGAGAAGCAGGAGTGATGGTGGTGAGAGGAGGAGCCGGAACTGGAGTAGGGAGCGGAGGATCGGGGGCCACATAGATGCAGTACACTAAAGTCCGGTTTGTGGTCGTCACTTGTGGAACATCAGTTGGAGTCGATGACTTCAAATCTGAAGTAGTTTCATACTTGTTTGCCCCATTTATTGTAGGTGTTGTCTGGTCTGTAGGCTCTGGGTCATGAGTTGCAGTGAGGGGTTCTTCTAACCCTTCTGTCTTTATGGTGACTTCATCCAGCCCTTCTGTTGAGCCCTCTTCAAAAGTCTCTCCAATCTGAGGTAGTGGATAAGTCCTGGACAGTCTGGTGCTAATGGTCAGTTGGTAAATGGTGCACAGAAAAACTCCAGAAAGCAGAAACAGAAACCGACTCAGCTGCAGCCTCTTCCTTCTTGTAGAATACATTTTAGTCCAGAGCAGTGTTTTACGACCGTCTAAGTTTTAAGGTGCATAATGAAGGAGCTCTTGTTGGTGAGCACTCTTGTCCCCTCAGCAAACACTGGGGTGACAGATTTTGAAGCTCCGCTGATGTGATTCATGCCACAATGCTTACATCTGCGTAAACAACAGAGATCATGCGTGCAAACACATCACTTCCATAAAATAGTCCTGAGTTGCAAAGAGCACAACTAAAACTAATAATTGAGAATAAAATGCATCTTACCGCAGTTGAAGATTTTGTCCAAGTTAAAGCATTAAAAGTTTAAAATGTTGCACCAACATATGTTCAATCTGTTGCTGGGGCCACAGGATTATGTAGGACAGAGGACAGGTCTTCAGAATGGATCAGCATTACACATAATACCTGAAGTCCAATAAGAGGATTATATGCATTGTCTCACTCTCACTTTGTCATCAGCCTGCTATATGTACTATTATTGGACTCAAAACTGAGGTGTCTGGTTTTTTTTACATTTCAATTCTAGAGCATTACAAAGTAAAAACACATGTTCATATAATAATAAAGACATCTCTGTAGGTATGTTGGTATGTTTTTAATTGTAATATTTAAATATTCCCCTTCACAGATATAGTAGATACATTGAGATACAGTAGTAGTAGTACAATACAGAGAGATACTCGTTTTGGGGGATATAGCAACAAATGACAAAAACAAACAAAATCAGATTAATTTTAAAACTCATAAAAACACTGAATTAAATGAAAGTTGTGACGAGTTAATATTGGTATATATTTTGCAACAATATATGAATCATGGACTGGAACAAGTTCAAAAATAGGCGTAAAGAGTGCTTTTGCTCCACTGCTAACCAGTGGGAGCTGGAAAAACGCCCCAAAGACATACTATCCAACCAACCATACTATCCAACCATTAAATTGTATATTTCTTTTTTTTTTTTAAGTCATTTTGGGGGACAGTTTTTATCTGTTTCAACCAATGAATAGGCTTCAAGAGTGTGTAGTCTGGCGCCATCTGAGTTACTTTATAAAAATTACAAGTTGGCGTGGACAGTAGACATAAAAAACGTCTAGTTAAATGTCCGAAAATGATTAATTGTGCAAAGTGTAAAGCTATATACAATAGATTTGCAATTTTGCAAAACCAATGTCACGTCGTTCAAATTACTGCGTCCATCATCCATTTCCCAATGAGATCTGTTTACATCACTAGTTTCACACCGGACGGAAATAACTGTTACACACGGTAACAGCAGTTGAATGTCGGTAGAATCATTTAATACCCGTACATATATATTCGTTGATTTAAAGGTTAATTGTTACACAAATTGATTTGTTTTCATGTTAAAGTCGATAAACAACATTTATTAAGTTAACTTTAATGGCATAGTAAGGCAAAACTAAAGTGATTTAGCCGACATGAGCTAACACTGATCTATGTTGCACCCTGTGTGTTCAACGCTGTTTAGTCTGGCTTTACAAGTGCGGTGCAGTAAGCAGCTTTTCGTTTAAAGGTTTTAATTTAGTTAAATTAAGTCTGTGTCTTTTCTCAAGGGCTGCAAAAAGGGACGAATCTACCACTAACTGGTAAGTTTGTATTTCTTTTATCTCTGTTCCTTTAATACATCCGGAATTTAATGTAAATGACGTGATGATTAAAAAACAAACTTTCTTTGTGTTGTGAAATAAATGGTCGCCTATAAAGAAATATAGGACGAGGATAATGGTATGAGATTTTTTCAACATTTCACATTCTTTTTCCTTTTTCCTCAGTGGGAGCAGATGCGGAAGGGTAGCCTTAAGTTCGCTGTAGTATTGTGAGTACACTTGAGTAACAAGCTATGCCTACTGTGGTCTTAATGGACGTTTCTCTGTCCATGACACGGCCAGTGTCACTGGACAGCAACGAGGAGTTTCAGAGGAAGAACTTGGCAGTTCATGGACTTAACATGCTGTTTGAACACATGGCCTCTAACTACCGCTTAGAGTTCACAGCTCTGATGGCCTTCTCCTCCCTCTGGGAGCTGCTGGTACCTTTCACCAGAGATTACAACGCCCTGCAGGTAGAGCTCGTCAAAGCACAGCATTTATATATGTTCTGTCTTTTATTTTACCCTGTGTAAATGTGTGTATTATGTGTTTTGTTGCAGGAGGCACTGAGCTCACTGGAAGACTATGACAAGACGTGTATTGAATCAGCTCTTCATGGAGTCAGTAACGTTTTCCAACAGGAGTGGGGCAGCACCTGTGCCTGTCAGGTACCTTGTTGTGCTTTGTTTTGGTCATCTTTACCAAAATCATACTTCAGCAATGATTGATGAAAAAGTGCCGGAAAGTAAATTACTGTTATAAACCTATTTCATAAGTAGATTTATTAATAATAATATAATAAATACTTAAAGATAATAAAAAGTCTTTCTTAGGGATCTCTTAGCCTGAATGATATCCAGTGATGGGTTTTATTGTATTATCTAGATTTAACACCTGTTATGATTTATAAAATTCAAAGAATTCAATTAGAACTTATTTTGTAGCTGTCTTCTATTCTTTGATGTTTTTATTTTTATTATTGATAGTTATATCAAATTATCTCCTTCATATTTCTGTTATTGTTGTTGTTATTCTTTAGGTATACATATTTTGATAGAAAAATGGTTGAGGAAGTGTACCATTTTGATATTTTTTTCATATATTTATGGGAAGAACATGGAAAATGCAAATTAAAATGATCTGTTTCTTTAACATTTAAAAGTATTTAATGCTGGAAAGTCTCTGTGTTCAACGTTTTGTAATTGTATCAACTTTGACAGTGTCTTATGATGGTTTCGTTTGCTATAGTTCCTATTTCAGTGTTATCATATGGCGGACAGTAATTATTTTATATTGTCTGTTATATTTGCTTGTTGCCTGTTCTGTCACATAGGTGATTCTTGTCACTGATGGATCTCTTGGCATTGGAAAGGGTTCTCTGCGTCACTCCCTTCAAACTATGAAGCAGCGTGGAGAAGACAAGAAGTTCCCACTGCCTTTCCCCTTCTCAACAAAGATGTACATTATGTGTGTAGCAAGCGCAGAGGAGGTATATACTATATTTTTTGTATTTTTATGTGGCCTGCTTAATTCTTGATATATAGTATAGAGTCAGAAGTGTTAGATTAGCAGATGTTTGGATATTTTTATGTGGCCTGCTTAATTCTTGGTATATAGTATAGAGTCAAAAGTGTTGGATTAGCAGCTGTTTGGATAAAAATAATTAAATTATTAAAAATAATTTAATTTAAATGTAATTGTTTTGCCTGTGACTTAATAATGCCTTTCTCTTTTTATAATGACAGTTACAGATGACTGATGCTTTGGACAATTTGGAGGAATTACTTCGCCTTAGTGGAGGAGACGGTCAGATCTTCACCGTAGAAGGACCACTGTGCATGAAAAGTGTACACGCAATGTTTGGGTAAGGTTTTTATACTTTATTAACACATACTCTTAATGTGTGAACTAAAGCATCTTTTGCCTTTTTCTTTGTATTTATTTTCCAGGAGGCTGATTGATTATGCGTATTCTCCTTTCCATGCTGTGTTGCATTGTGGGAACCTTTCCTCTGATGTTCAGGTGTTCCCTCGACCCGAGCCTGTCGTGGTGGACGAGGAGGTGGAGCCCATGCCCAAAACAGTCAACACAGGTAAACAGCCACTGCTCCTTATTGCCTCAGAATTTAGCATTTACATTATTTGAAAGAAAAGCGTTTACACCACAATATCTTTTTCAGACTTGGAAATCATGGGCTTTATTGAAATTGCCGACATTTCGAGTCCTCCGGTTATATCAAGACACCTGGTACTGCCGATCGCTGTAAACAAAGGTCTGTGATGAAAGTGTTTTTAATTATATTGACGACACTACAAACTCTTTCAGAAAATTATTAGTAAAGTATAGTTACTGGTATTAATGGGTGGCTTACCAAAAAATAGATTTCCTAAATTTACAGCATAAAAAAGGACACAACTACATGTATAAAGGCAATTCAGTGCATTTTTATTCATTTTTGGGAAACTTATTTTTGTGTATACTGTTTAGTATAGTATATCACTGCGATCAATGGTTGACATAACATTTTTTTTCCTGAATTTGAAGATTAAAAAAGCACATAACAAATTATTTGGAGGCAAATTTGTGCCTTTTTATTTAACTTTACAGTGTCAAAAGTCGGCGTACCGAAAAAGTATATTTTTATCTCAATTTTAATCACAAAAATAAACATAGCTAAGTATTTTCAGACAAATGAGAGCATCTTGATGATTGGTTTACATAAACCAGCATTTCTAAACTTGTAAAAACAATAACATCAGCTAGATTTGTTTTCCAAATCTGCTTTTACTGGTGACCCATCCAGAATATTGCATTTGATTTCAGAGGTAGATGAAGTTGGTGCAGGAGCCACAGATGACCTTGACGATGAACCCTCTGCCAGTCAGGTGGCTGGAAAATCCCCAAACTTTTGTGTGCTTTTACATGGTAGTCTGAAGGTTGAGGGCATGGTGGCCTTGGTCCAGCTAGGGTGAGAATAATAATAATGATGAGACAGTTGTGTTTGTTTAAACCAGTCATTTTACATTCTACAAGCACCAACAATAGCTAAAATCTGTTTCCTTTTTCAGGCCAGAGTGGTACGGCATGTTGTACTCTCAAGCAGACAGTAAGAAGAAATCTAATCTGATGATGTCACTGTTTGAGCCTGGTTCAGAACCACTGCCCTGGCTGGGCAAGATCTCACAGTTAGGACCAATTTCTGGTAAAAACTTCTGCCAGGTTGACAAACAACTTGTTGTAGATTAATAATGAGAAGTCCTTCATTTGCCCCACAATGGGGAGATTCACTGTGCTCCCTAACATGAGCAGAGACCTTTTTGTGTGTGTTCAACGTTAAGTGGTTCAATAACAGGATAATTTGGTTCCCTGTTACTTTAGAGGCTGCCGAAAATCCCTACGGTGAAGATGACAGCAAAAGTCCTTTTCCTGTGCAGCCACAGGTCAAACGAAGCTATGCTCAAAATGTTACGGTGTGGATAAAGGCCAGTGGACTACAGGTACACAGAACATCCGTACAAATTGATTAAGATATTAATCAGAAATTACAGTAATTGAATTGATTAATTATTGCTTACTTTGCTGAAGTCATACAACAGAACCCCTGCCTGAATATATATTTAACACGTTACACTTTGAACAATTATCTCTTTCTCTGTGTGAGCGTGTGGTTTCAGAATTGAATTTCAGTGACATCTCACTGCTTGTACAAGTAAAATACAGTAAAGAAACATTTTTACATTTTAGGTTTTACATTTAAAATGGTCTGTTGTACCAAAAAGGGAGGTTAAAATGATGGTAATTTATAGTTAAGAAGACTGTAGGCTTGAGTGCCCCTTCACTCATTCGATGGTTTGTCCATTTTTAATGCCTAACAACAATCATTCTGATGATTGTTTGTTGCTGTCTTTGCAGACTGATGTGCAGAAAATTTTGAGGAATGCCAGAAAGCTACCTGATAAAACCCAAACCTTCTACAAAGTAAGTCTGACATAAAAAAAACACAAATTCCAACAATTTCAAAATGAAAATTTCTACTTTGTACCTTATTGTGTCAGGAGCTGAACCGTCTGCGAAAAGCCGCCTTGGCCTTTGGTTTTTGGGAACTGCTGAAAGGAGTGGCCGATCTGCTGGAGAGGGAGTGCACCATGTTGCCTGACTCGGCTCATCCTGATGCAGCGTTCCAGCTTTCCCATGCTGCACAGCAGCTGAAACTGGCCAGCACCGGTGACTCTCAGTACGCTGCTTTTGATCACAACATTGCTCCCATGCACACTGACTTTTCAAGCTGAAACAGCCAGCGCAGTAGTAGACTGAAGCCAAACATCTTTGGTCTCTGTGGGCTTATGTAATAAGATGGACACTGATTCAGGAGACATCGAGAAAAACTCCTCTGTAAAGTCAAGACATTTGTATGAATAAAAAAAACTGTACATATATTTTTAACATGAGAGTTTACATATGATTTCTTCACTTATCGATGATGTTTAATTTGAAATCAATGTCAAATAACAGGAATCTGTGAAATCTTGGAGTTTTACAACTAATTTTTAGTGTATTAGTAAATGTCAGATAAGACAACATGTCAATAGAAAATCTATAGGAATAATAAAAAAAACATTTTCATCAAACATGAAGCTACTTCTGACCACACCGAACCCAGCGTTGAGGAAGTACATAGCTGCAATGTCAATTGATAACAGTAATATACTATAATAATAATATACTGAAACAAAACAAGTCATCAATAAGTTTAAAAAACGTATTTACCTTAAAAACATATTTTTTAGGGTTAAAAAAAATAGATACTTTTTGGTATGTCAACCATTGATCAAGAGAAACATTATAATAGAAGATTATACTAAAAAAGATTTAAAAAGTTTCTCAAAAATAAATAGTTATAAACATGTCTTCAAATTAGAGCATTTTGAGAATTTTTCAAAAATGTGTCAAAATCTTTTGGCAAAATCTTTTTGTTTCATGTAACTTTTGATCAGATATTGAAAAATGCTGACATTTTGACATTCTTTGTACAAATGAATCACTTGGCTAAATGTTTTGCGAACATGCCTGCATTCTGAGGCATTTCAGGGACTTTTTTATTTTTTGCATTTTTTCCCGATGGTAAGGCTATAGTAAGGCATGTTTTGGGTGATTTTTTTAAATATTCATTTAAAATACTTTTGGGAGTTTTAAACATAAAATAATCACTTGGCAGCATGTTTTAGGACCTAATATGAACGTCAGCGGTCAACTGCAAGAGAGCGCTGATATTGGAACCTTTGTATAACGGAAGCAGGAAATCGTAGTACGGTCCTTATTTCCGGTTGCGGATCCGGCGCATGGGACGCTTGTGTTAGTCGTGTTGGCTTCCAGCGGGCGTTCAAGTAAGAAAATTGGCATGGTGGCTACATCTGATTGATTTAAATGGTGGGTTTTTGTAAACAGTTGTCGGTTGTATTTTGTTTGAAATGGTAGTCGTTCGGTCGAGACCGTTTGTGCAATTTACGCTAGCATCAGCGTCTCGGCAGCTAACGTTAGCTAACGTTAGGTATCTATAGTAAAGCATACTACATTATACCTATGATATGTATATATAAGCAGAACTAGTATAATTATAAGAATGTTATGTGAACATGTATATGAAATAAATATATAAAATAGGAATTATATGCACAGTGTAAGTAGTTGTAGTTAAACAATGAAATTAAATAAACAGCTGTATAGGCAGTCCCAGCAGACATATTAGTGTATTAAGTGTTTAAATTTATTTTGGATAATTTCCTGTCAAGTGTTTTTTATTTTGGTGTTTAATTTTTGCTCTTTGTCGTTTCTTTAAGGTCTGCCATCAGAAAACGCTGGTTCGATTTCAGCGGCAACACCATGTTTTCCACGGATTTAATACCGGAAGAAGAAACGAGACTGAAGATAGTATGCAGCTTCCTGATTACTGCTAAAGAAATAGTTTACACACTGTATTATAGAAATTAAATACTGAAGGAAATAGTGAACCTGCAGATTAGAAGAACACGTCGTTGTGCCACGTTAGCACAAACAAACGGGTTTTCCTTAAAAGCAGCTACAAAGTAGTCACTCTTACAGTGCAAAGTCTGTTGCACAACTAAATGTTTACACATCACTATCATCAGTAACAGTACAAACTCAATGTTTTAAACATTTCATCACTACATAAAGGCCTTTGTTTGTCAGAACAGCTCAGGGGTCAAGCACAATTGAAATGCATTAGAAAAAACACCTGGTACCAGAAGGTACTGGAATACCTGGTGTCACCAGGTGAGGGTTTTCACTTTTTTTTTAATATAGCTGAATAAACCTTTAATGACATGTGTGAGTTTCATTATGAGTCTTTTGTGTG